GACTTTTATGGGTTTCCTGTGTTTGAACAGTATCTATCCATCGATTTTGTTGGCCTTCCCTTCTGTGAAGCGGGTGCGGCGTGGTGCTGCCATGATGGATGCAGTTCTTGATATTGCTTACACCAGCACATACCTCATCATCACGTTGCTGGCCATCCACGAACTACAGCTGGGCCAAGCCCTTTCAGGAAATTTCGGGGATGAGGCTTCTGTGAACTTCCAAGCAGAGTTGGACCCGGCATTTGCATTCCCAGCCGACTTTTTTGGTTTCTTTGCTGTCTACTATTCACTTGCACATGTTTGCACTGTTTGCCGTGCCTTGGAGCGAAGCGATCGATCGATCTACTGGAAGAAGTTGCAAAGCTTACCGAACTCTGCTTCCCAGTCAATGCTGGGCCCATCGAGATTTTCTTGCTCAAAGAGATATCGGATTTGTTGCAAAGCCTTGCATTTTTGCTGCATTGGTTTCGTTATATGTTTCGTTTTATGTTGTCTCTGCAATTTTCAATCCATCGTGGTTTCGCAACCTGTTGGACCTGTTGACACAATTTGTCATGTGAGTATCTCGAAGCCCCTCAACTTGTCAACATATATTTGTACAGAGGAGGCGTCTTGTTGTTCTCAGCTTTACTGTACTTGCTGCACCCTTTTGTGCATCCTCAAGCATACTAATACACAATCTGATACACCACATCTTATATTGTTGTTCCCCAGCAGCATCAACAGCCAAGGGGCCAAGGGGGTTCCAGGGCTTTTGAAATGTTTTTCAGCACGTTTCAGGCTTCTCACTTAGTTTCACAGGTCCAGGATTCCGAGGTGCATTCCAAGTATTTCAGGGTTTCCAGGGTTCCAGGATTCCACAGTTGCAAGGTGCTGTTGGTTGCAATGTGCCGTCGGATGGCATAGTTGCAGGAGTCCCAGCAAAGGCACCCGCGAAGTAAAAAAATGGATACCTATGATACCTATGTCTTCAATATCAATCCCCCTGAGATTAGGCTTCTGTTTCATCATGGCGTGAGTTTGTGTGCCGGAATGCCCCCCCTTTCATACCATCGGGCTTTGATGGATGAACTCCAGTTCTTCGTTTCTCCTTGCAACCGCTGCTTAGGTATTCGCCCTGTTTGCTTGTCACGATCATTGCTCTGCTGCTTTTGTTACACTTCTACCCGATTCACAAGGATGATTTCGGATGCTTTCCGTGTCGCTGTCAGGAAAAGGACTATGGTGCAAAGCACCTCGCGAACTGCCACCTTGTAGGCATTCTTCGCCTCAAAGATGTGAGCTTGAGTGAGCAGGACATCACCAGTGTTGCAGAGGATGCCTTCACCTCTTCATGGGGCTTGCAAAGGTTGTCGCTCTCTGGGAATCGGTTGTCTGTTTTGCCTCAAAATGTGTTCTCCCCGTTGGAGAGCCTGCAACTCTTGGACCTGGGCCGCTTGGGTTTGCAACAGGTGGAGTCAGACACGTTCACGGGCTTGTCAAACTTGAGAATCTTGTCGCTGAGCCAAAACCGATTGAAGGTGTTGCCAGAAGACTTGCTGCGCCCCATGCCAGCTCTGAAGCAATTTTTGTTGGGGGGTAAACTTGATGAGACGGGCTATCGCATCGCTGATGGAAATGAATTGAAAATACTTCCGCAAGAGCTTTTGCAGCACAGCCCGCGGCTACAAATTCTCGATCTGAGCGAAAACAAGTTGAGCTCACTGCCAAATCACATCTTTGATAAGGCTCCTTTGTTGGAGACCCTCGACCTTGGTTCAAACAAGCTGACTGAGTTGCGTGCTGAAGTTTTTGTAGGGCTCAGCAAACTCCAGGAGCTGGACCTGAGTGGGAACAAGCTCGGTGAGCTACCTGCTGAAGTCTTTTCCGGGCTCGGCAGGTTGCAGGAGCTCGACCTGAGTTGGAACACACTCAGTGATTTGCCTGCTGAAATCTTTTCAGGACTCAGCAACTTGACCTGGCTGGGCCTGGGGTCGAACAAGCTCAACGAGTTGCCTGCTGAAGTCTTCTCAGGGCTCAGCAACTTGCAGGAGCTTTACTTGTATCAAAACGAGCTCAATGAGTTGCCTGCTGAAGCGTGGCCCGATCTGTTCGGACGTCTTGGCAACTTACGGGAGCTGAACCTGAGGTCCAACAGGCTCGGCGAGTTGTCTTCTAAAGTCTCGTCCAAATCATTTGCAGGGCTCAGCCACTTGCAGGAGCTTTACTTGGACCGAAACGATCTCAGTGAGTTGCATGCTGGAGTCTTTTCCGGGCTCGGCAACCTGCAGAAGCTTGTCCTGCGTGAGAACAGGCTCAATGAGTTGCCTGTTGAGATCTGGGCCAATCTGTTTGCAGGTCTTAGCAACTTGCGGAAGCTGGACCTGAGGTCCAACAGGCTCGGCGAGTTGCCTGCTGAAGTCTGGTCCAAATCGTTTGCAGAGCTCAGCCACTTGCAGGAGCTTGTCTTGGGCGGAAACGATCTCAGCAAGTTGCATGCTGAAGCCTTTTCCACGCTGGGCAACCTGCAAAAACTTGTCCTCGATAGGTGCAGGCTGAACGAGTTGCCTGTCGAAGTCTGGGATAATCTGTTTGCGGGGCTCGACAACTTGCAGGTGCTCATGCTGCATAACAACAAACTCAGCGAGTTGCCTGCAGAAGTCTTTTCAGGACTCAGCAAGTTGCAAAGCCTCGACCTGGGTAACAACAAACTCGGCGAGTTAGCCGCTGAAGTCTGGGTCAATATGTTTTCAGGGCTCGGAAGTCTGCAAACGCTTTCGCTGTATGGCAATGGTCTCAGTGAGTTGCCCGCAATTTGTTCGGCTATAAAGTGTGTCAACTGAGATGGTCAACTGAGATGTCCGGCCACGCGGATGAAGGATTCCTTGTTTGTTTCGGCGAAAATGATGGGGTGCTCTGCCATCTGCCCGCTTGATAGGGTTGTGGGTAGGACTGGTTCCTGGGTATAGATCACACAGTCAAGCGACGAGATTTCACATTTCACCCACTTCCAACAACCCCTTTGAATCATTTTGAATCTAGTTGCGATGCATTTCATATGGTTTGTCTTCATGATATTTATTGCATTCTGTTCTTGTTTCGTAATTTTTTGAGGCGTTTTGGGAGTAGCACCTGCATTGGGCGACCAAGGTCCAAGGTGGCAGTGGCACCTGGCGCACAACTGGAGAGATGTTCGCACACCGAGGCATCGGAATGTCCAGTCGAAGTCATCACAGTTATGAAAGTCATTTTCATGAAGCTTTCGGTTCTGTTGTGATCTCTGTAAGTTTTCAAGCTCCATTGTTGGGATGTCTTCCCGGGTATTTGCGGCTTGCCTTTGCTTGGAAACTCGTTTTCAGGCTTTGTAGGGTTCAAGATTGGCCCTCTTGTGGTGAAAGACTTCCAACAAGGAAAAGACAGTCTGAAGGGAGCAGAACAGAAGTTGTTTCTTTGCAAAACGTGGAAAGAAGTCGCTGAGACAGGTGTAGCTACTGCGTCGACCACATGAAGCGCTGAGCGCTGCCATTCGGCACGCTGCGCCTTGGACCAGGCACCAATGGCTCCAAATGGGAACATCACGCCGAGAATTTTGGAGTTTCGACAAGTTGTAGGTGTATGGCCATTCCTTTTAAGAACATGACAACATCAAACAACCTAACACCATAAAACACCATTTGAATCCAGAATCTGGTGGGGGTCGATCCACTGGATCAATATCCATGGCTTAGCTGGGAAGGTGCCTGGACTTGACCCTGGAAGATCTCCAATGTTTTGGTGTATGACTTGAGGAAAGTGTTGCAGATAGTGACAATTGCCAGGGTTTCTACCATGGAGGACGATGCAGCAAGGGTTAGGGTTTATCCATGTACACGCTTACAACATCTTGTCAATGCCAGAACTTGTATGGAAGTTCAACACCTTCAAGTTGAGATGGTTTCCATTCTTTGGGGTGTTTACACCACTCAATGTGTGGACCGATGAAGGACAACCATGTGACTATTCCGCAAGCTGCTCCATATCAGCGGCTTTTCGCACGTGCACACACCATTACACAACTTGTGTGGGGATTCCGATATTTAGACACCAGTTATCCTAAGGGCGCCTTATCCAAAAGTCCATCGTTTGCTGTGACTCCCCAGTGGAAATGGGCTTCGCACGGGGAAAAGATGAGGGCTTCATCCCAGCGCTGCAGGAAGGTCACTGCAGCGGCTCGAATGCCCAGCACTGCACGACGAGTTTTGAGAGTCGTGGGATGAGGACATGGCCAGGGATTTAGAGTTGATACCACTTGACATACTACTAGTAGCACGAATTTTCATCATGAAAACAACGGGATTATGACCTTGATTATCATTGGATATCATTAGCAGCAACATTTCTGGAACATTTCTGGAAGATTGCATACATTCCCATCATCTTTCAAGCACTATGCGGCCCATGGATTTTGGACAGGTCAACTGCATTGAGAGACAACGATTTCCGAATTTTCTGTTGAGGCTCGGTATTCCAAGAGAAACCCGGGTCCACCTTCCCTGTCCCAGAGAGATGTTGAGGCCCCCGGTGCAGGGAGGAAGTGCTTCCAACCCCAACATGTATCCTTTGGTTGTGAAACCTGGTGATAGGAAATCCTGCTTTTACAGTTGACTTTCCTATTTTCAACATTGGTTTTTCACGGCCAGGCTACGCTATTGGAGGATGTACATGTCAGAAGTTAGATTATAGATGAAAAATTTTTGCTTTGTAACCAGGGTTCAGGTTTGTAACCAGGGTTCAGGGTTTTGGGGGGGTTATAAAGTAACCACCAAACAACTCACAACATACATCAATCCACACAAACCCACACAGCACAACAATACCGAACCAAGAGCAAACACAGTTCACAACACACCCCATTGACCCCAAGAGCACAGAGCACCTTTTTCATTGATCACCCATCGCAAGCACACTTGTCGTCCAGCATTTGTAGATGCTCAAGGCATTTCTTCCAAAACCTAGCAAAACATAGTATCCTATAGCAAGACCTATGATTCCACCTCAGCGTCGAGTTCTTCAATTTCCTCAGATTCTGCTTCTTCTCCATCATGAATGTCGTCCTGTCCATCATCACATTCATCATCCGGTTCGCATTCTGCATCACCATCCTGCTCTTGTTTCTTTGCTTCTTTCTCGGCTTCATCAAGCAGAGCATCCTGCAGTTACAGGCAACCATGTTGTGCTGAGATGTTGTCATCACTGTCAATTTAACAAGTGTAACTGGAATGCTGCATGGTTGAATGCATTGTTGTGCTTTCCCCCCCCCCCGTCAGACCCTCATGGCCATAGCCGGACCAGTCTTGCCATCATGTTTCAGCAACTCATCTTTCAGCAGCTCCTTGCATGGGCAGTAAAAAACTGTAGATAGTGAATATGAATCAGCACAACAAACTTGTTGCATACAGATTGCAAAGACATGCCAGCATAAATGACAAAAGTTCAAAGTTGTAGGAATTTCAGTCTTGTGAAATTATTTGATGTCAAGGAACTGCGATGTGATGGAACTTGTCATCTGGAACACCAGGTCGAGGCTTCATCTTGCAGGGTTGAAATATTTAGATACAGAACATGATACATTGCATCATGATACACTATCTGAAATGAATTTGTTTAACACATTCATAGAGTAACATCAAATTTGAAACAAATTTTGCAAACCCCACCCTGAGCACTTCTTTGTTGACTCGTGAATCCTTGAAACCGTAGACTCCACTGCCATACTGGTATTTCCAAACACGAAGTGGGGCATTGGCAGCACTAGGGCGTTTCATGGGAGGGCTGCTGCCAGTGGTTGCTGAGGCTGCTGGACGCTTCAACACTGCCTTCTTTGGTGCTTTGCTAGACTTTTCTTCTTCATTGTCAGTCGGGTCAACATGTGTCTCAGGTGTCTCCTCTGTTTCTTCAGTCTCCCTCTCTTCAGTCTTCTTGGTTTTTGCCACTGTCTTTGCATTGTCATTCTTCTTTGGTCTCCCTGCTTTGCCTTTGGCCTTCGCCTTCGCCTTTGCCTTTCCTTTGGCCTTTGCTGCAGGTTTCTTCACTGTGGGCTTGGTGCTCTCCCCAGCTGCATCAGATTTTTCTTTTGGCTGTGCTGGCTTTCGTCCTGGTTTCTTTCTCTCAGTTGCAGCTTTTGGGGCTGGCTCATCACTTTGCTCGTCAGAAAGCGAATTGACATCTTGAAACATCAAAGAAATTTTGGACAAAAACATGGGCCAAAAACCCAAAGCCACGGTATTTGCAGCCAAAACTGCTACGAACTATCAATATCACAAGAAACCTTTGGAGTTACATGCAATCAAACTTAAAGCATCGTTTAACTGGGATGCTCAAATTGTGAAACTGTGTGCACATGCTGTCAAACAAATCAGCAAGTTTACAGCAGAAACATCCTTTATTTTGTCCCACAAAGCGCCATAGAGCACGCTGTTTCTAAGTCAGAGAACAAAATCTGAATGCATTGTTTTCAATGATTCAAGGTGCGCTGCTGCTCCTGCTGCTGCCGACCGATGGGCACAAAATGTTCTGTTTAATACAAAAAGACATGACATTAGGAATAATGAAGCCCGTTGAATTTAGAGTCAATTGCTTTGCCATACAACAGCTAGGGCATCAGCGTGAGCAAATCCCAAACAAAATTTCTTCAGACTTAGGACAACTTGTAAGCTGTCTTGGCTTTCAACATCAAGCTTGCATTGAGTGAAATCTTGGGCTTCACACCGACAATGCATGCCGGGGCTCCACTGTCAACACGCACCTTACAAAGAACAATGTAAGCAATAACAACATGTGTATCAAACAAAAAGCAACATGTGGCAAAGTGACAGCACAGCTCAACAACTTAGGAAAACACATCCCAGGTCAACGCACAGTGTGCGTTTGCAGGCAACTTGGACACTTTGTTCTCTTTGAAGAAGACTGCCCCAAGTTGAGACGCACGAAGCTGGTGAAGATCAGCATCTGCAGGCAATGGCTTAGGTTCGAAAGTGTGGACCCTTTGCTTCGGCTGGAGCTTGTATCTGAAATTCTGAACCTCTCCATTGTCCTGTATCAAACATTGGAAACGCTTGATACCACACAGCATCAAACATATTGAATTAAACATCGCACCAGCCAGCAATCACCTTGAGATACCTTGCACAAGCCTTGAACAAGCAAGCACTTTAACACACCAGCATTGTCACCATGAGAATGTTGTTACTTACAGCATGGGTCCTTCAGCATTTGTTCCATATCATGGTCGGCCACTGTCACTTGCATGACTCCCCGGTTTGATGCCAATTTGCACAGAAGGTCCGCAAGACACAGAACCTCCTTGCCATTGTTCGTGACCCAGTTGACCAATTGTGTATCCTTGTAGATCAGGAATGGCAAGGAATCCGTTGGAGGTGCAGTTGCCACACCTCAGTTGTTTAGTTTGGGTCTGGCATTTAGCATTGGCACCTTGGGTTGGATCATATTTGGTGTTAGATTAGCAGCTACCTTGACAATATACGAATTTATTGAAATATGTTTGTTGACAATACCGTGACTATGTTCTGAATATGACATTCTGATGCAATATTCTTGTTATCTACAACATGTTGGTAGTTCCATGTACAAGTGCATTCATGTATACAACACCTAGTGACAACATGTGACAACATATCAGTTGTACCACTCAGCATGCAGCCGTGGCACCCAAGGCAATCTCTTTGAAATTGCCGACGTTGAAGCCCAGCAGTTCACCAGCTTCAACCTCAGCATCGGTATCTGCATCGTTCACCATCCAAATCTCCAGCTCAGCATTGATGCATACCTTGATGGATGGCCCACGGGGATATGCAGCCATAGCCAAGATCCTTAGTTAGAAAAGGAACATGTCATATTGAATTCAAATATATCAAGGGCAAAGGAAAGAATAGAAGTGAAGAGCAAGCAACACAGTTTATAAGCATGTGTTTATTTTATGAAATTTCAGGCATGCTCAAACAACACAAACAACTCAACAATATTGGCAAGAAACTGTTGTGTGCTGCGGAAGTCTTGCTCTGGCACCGATGCCAAATCAACAACGCGGCTCACGTCCAATGGCTTGTCATTGTCTGTGAACTCCGGCTGACATGATGTCCGGTTTTGGCGGTTTGGGGTGCCAGCTGTCGCAGTCTGAGTTTGAACGGTTGGAGTTGGAGCTAAGCTTCTCAACGCCCTCTTGACCACTCTTGTGTTGGCCTTTTTGACTTCGTTTTCCAACAGCTTGACATTGGAAACATGCGCCGAATCCACATTGAAACGGGCTGTCATCGCATCTGGAATCCTAAGTGTGACAGGAAGGCAGTAAATAAACATATATATAATATATATATATACAATAAAGTAGCAACTCCAAACAAACAGTGTGAACTAACATATGCACATGTTGGCACATCCGAACATACATTGTTTCTCTAACAAGCTACTTCAGGAGACCATCTACAACAGTCAGTGAGGTCAAGGATGGCTGTGCTTCACCAAATGCAGAAGCTGGTCTGGTCTTCGCTCCTGCTTCTGGGCAGTTGTCCCACCAGTCCTGCTCATAGGCAACAACAAGTCACAGCATGTCAACACAACAATACCTATCTTCAAATTCTTCAAAGCAGTTCAAAACAATATATGTTTGTTTCAGCAGCCAACACAGCTTCTTTGTCCTCCATCCCTCGTCCGATCATGTCCTTTCGTTGGGTGTCCGCTTCCTGTGGTTCTGCAAAGTACCCCGTATATGTGAACTTCTCCACACACGCATCTGGGTTCTTCAAGTTGTGAAGTTGGCGATCCCACACAGCACGTGACCACTCAGCAAATCGGTTTGGAGTCAGGTCGAAGACATGTACTTCTGCACCCTCAGGTATTGACACCCCCTGTAAGCATTGTTTTAGAATGGTCACAACTCCAGGAACACCACGCTGTTGCACCTTAGAGGTTCCATAGGTAACACAGGTCCAAAAAAAAGGAAATGCACAATGTTGACATAAAGGTCTGAGAATTTCTAAGCTTTATATTCAACATCTCTTCAACTGGGTTTTGCACACGGTGGTTTGGTGCCATTGGGGCATCGGGATCGATATGTACTAGGTCACTGATTTTGGCCCTTGGCACAGGCCCCAAGGTTCCAAGCAGAATGCGGCTTTTCTGCCATTTCGATGCTTTCTGGTTGCAATGAATTGCAGCAATGCCTTAGGTTCTGGTTAGGCCATCACAAGCACCAACAAAGCAGAAAAGCAGGTGATAACCCAAGATAAGAAACATAGATGAGGTTCAAAATCAAAGTACCTTGTTGAGATGTACGGCGCTTGTCATTGCCATGGGGGTTGTCATCGACAAAATTGATGCTGAACTCCCAATAGTCCATTGTCCTTGGGCATGTGGGCAAAACAATGAGAGCATAAAGCCAAAACACGCACAGGCACGCACTACTGTAAAAGGAAGAAAGGTAGGGCAACAAGCGCAAACAAGCCACGCTATAATTTTGTCTTCTAAGAGACGTCGGTGCTTCACAATTGTGTGCTTGTCCATGCTCCCATGATGTTGTGGCTCCAAAACCACCAAGATAGATTTGTCGTTGCCAGCAGTAATCACTGAAGCCAACTTGATAGCCTCATCGATGACAGTTGGTCCTAAGCTGTTGCTTGCAAAGGTTGTTGCTAGTGAACATAATGCAGTGCTGTGATGGTCTCAACACATGTTGCCACATATTGCGAAGATATCTCATGTTGATTTTAACTGAGGTTGATGTATGTTGTCATTGAGAAGCTTGATGGCCAAATGGTCGCATCCAAGACCAGGAGGCCCAACCTTAGGAGTGCAGGAAAACAACATGTTGCCATATGTTGCTATATGTTGCCATATCAGTTCAAATGATCTTGTGGTCTCATGTGATCATGGTTGACATGTAATATTTAAATCTTGCCAAGTAGCGATTGGGACCCATTCTGATTCAAATGCTGGACAACATCATTGGCAGCTTCCATCAAATCATCCACATGCATGAAGCGTTGAGAGTGCTTCAGCAGTGTGTTCACACGCTCCATCCCCTTTGCATACCTGTCCTGGAGGTACTTGACATCCATGCTGCCCGGTACGCAAAGCATAAGGCGAGGATGGGGAAACAATATGGAATACAATTGTCAGTGATACCATTGCTAAATCATTTTAGACCAATGACCAATGCATACCAACATCATGCAACAAATATCAAATAATAAGTGACATATGACAAACATTGACAAACAGCAAAGACACACACACACACACCCAGAACAGCCTGCCGTGAAGAGTGTGAGTCAAACCGCTGGCTCCAAGATGAGATTACCTCAATGTCCTTCTCGATGTTGAGTTGTGCCTCCTCAAATTTCAACGCTGCCATCTTCTTGGATAACCTGAGTACTTTTGGAACAAAATTGCAGCATATTATTGTTATTGTTCACTGACAGAAAACATGAAACAACTCACTCGACAAACACAGCCTAGCAACTCTTCATCCCGTTGAGCTTGTGATGTTTGGGCCTCCCAGGAAACCAGTGCTAGTATTGAGACTATATGTGTATCAAACTTAGTTGTGACATGTTATGGCAAAACATTCAAATCAAAACAAGCCTCCTTCTCATACTTGTTCAATGCAGCGTTGAACAAAGATACTTTGGCAAGATCACATGGAGGGACAGTTGCTTCCAACAAAGCTTGGAGCTGTGCGTCGCCATGTTTGGCCATGAACCTTGTAGCACAGATCCCAATTATCCGTTCATAAGACACAAATTGCCCGATGAAAGGTTTGTTCAACTCAGCATTCATTATGCAACCAAGCATCCCTTTTTCTATTCGATTGATCTCGGTTTCGAAAAAAGTTGCCGGCACCTGCTTCTTGAACTCAGCTTTGCAGGCAAAGTACATGGCACAAGTGCGCTGCAGAAGTTCCTTACAGGACTCTGGGCTGGGCACTTGCAGGGTTCAAAATTAGTAGGGCAAAAATTCAATAACATCGTGATTGACAACTTTGTATTGTTCTTTGTCTAAATGCATCCATGTCTCAAGATCACGCAGTGCAATAGGTTTTCGCATTTTGGGGTTGAGGCTTTCATAGTCCGATTCCATTCTCTTAGTGATCATGGTCAGAAGTTCATCGTTGTTGCTCAGTTCATCCTTCCATGTAGCATATTGAGCTGTTCCACCTGTATAGCTAGAGTTCAGTATGCCGGCAGCCAAAGCATCATGCTGAATGACCCGATGCATGGAATATTTCCTGGCCAGCGATCATTGCTCTTGTATTTTTTTGATGTAAGATGCTTGTTGTACAATGAAACTGAACAGTGTGCCAGTAAGTAAAGTGTCCTGGACAAATCGAACAATGTGTCAGCCACAACTCTTGGGGTGTGCCGGAACAAGTTCACAGCCGCTGTTGACTCACGTTCCCCAAGATCATATGCTGCTGCCAGTGTTGCCGCTGTACTGGTCACCTATAGTCAGATCCCAAAATCTGTGTGCAGGACATGTGTGTTGATTCAGCTCAAAAGCTTCAAGTATTGCAAGTGGGAACCCCAGCAAGATTCACAAGACCCAGCAAGTGTATGGCCTCCAAAGATTCCTCAGCATTCTTACCTGCACGTTCCAGAACCCTCAGTTGATGATATAGATTCAGAGCATTTGGCCGACGACGTGTTGATGTGCTCTGAAGGGTAACACCTCAAACATCATTAGGAGTAGGATTGCACCCCCAATATTTTGCAAGCATGTACACTGACATGGAAAAAATCACACAAGAACATCACAAAGTTGCAGTGGCACTTGCCATGTTGTGCACACAATGTTGGTTTAACATTTGCCAGCTAAGATACCACGGTTTGTTTGGACCACATCTTCTTGCCCTTTCACAGCTTGGCAGGTACAGTATATGGTGCGCAAGGACCTAGCGAACCGTGACCCAACACCAGCCACAAACCTAGTGAGATCTAGTAAGTGCAAGTAGAAATCAGTGCTAGTATCAAGCATTACAATTATGTTGGAACTCATGCACTAAGTGCCCAGGCTCGATCAGGGATGATGGCATTGCCTTCCGTGAGGGTTTGTTTTGTTTCGCAATGCTCTGCAAATACATGAGGTGTAAGTAGTATAAATATCAAATTTATATGACATCCATTTCCCCACCTGCCTTCATGAAATCATCACATTCGAATGCACATAGTAGGATGAGGCTTGCTGTCAGGCTTCGTGTCCACCCCTTCACGTTGAAAACACACATTGGTGGGGCCAGCCCTGCACTTGCCCCAAGATCTTGACTTGAAACAGTCCACAGCCGTTCTTCATCGTTCTGAGGTGCAAAGCGGGAACGCACTGCCAACTTCTCAGTTCCCGGAATGTTGGGATCGGTTTGAAACCTCATCAGAAGGTGTGGCATCTAGAGATGTTTGGCTACTGTGCATGTTGATGTGCAGTGATGTCCCTTCATGTCGCAAGTGTTGCTGGTCGTTTTTGGTCTTGTCATTGCAATCAAGCACACAGTGGCCCACATAATTCAAGCAGACAAGAGTCGAGTTGACACAAACCAATTGCACCATGTTGAGAAGCACATCCTAACATGCATGCACAATTTGTTCACAATGTTGATTGTGTGCTTGTTGCTACTGCTACCAATATATATCTAGTTCAATCATCACCAATGTGGACCCCCTGAGGTACAAACTGGATCACAATAGCCTCTCAGACCTGCGTGGGGTTCCCAGTTCAGCTGCCAGGGCCGGAGACAAACAGGACCCGTTTGTAGTAGATCTGCTGCGCTTGCATAAGACCTTGGCTGGCCAAATTGGGGCTACCATGGGTTACCAATCTGAGTTTGGCTGGTTGCCATTGCCAAAAAATGAAGTAAATTCATAATTTCACATAGGTTTGCTACACACCACGCTCAGGAGGGAAATTCTGCTCCACAAAGCTGTAGAAGTCAACCACTTCAGCCTGCCAAAGTTTGAGAGAGAACCAACATGTGGAATAAACATGACTCCTGGTTCGTGGCCTGGGTTCGAATTGTGTCTACCAAGTACTTGTCCACACTGCCATGACTGGCCGCCTTGCTTTGCCTTAGTAGTTCTGTGTAAAGACAGTTTGTACATTTATATCCAAAATCATCCAACGAATCTGTGTTTTCCAACATGCTGACGCTTGACAAGAACCAACCACCAGCAGTAAGGACATGGATAAATACATCATGTTCTGAACAACCATTTGTTATTCAACTAAGATGCATCCACTTCTCCATGATCTTAATGTGGGGATTCCTTTGAAGAGCTTCTTGGCTAAGGCGTTGAAGCTCATCAGCAGTTTTCCTGGACTTGGTTGGAGGCTTGCTGACGCCACCTCCGTTGACCCGCTTTTTGGGAGACATACCTGAAGCATTGAAACATGTTTGGAATACAAGAAGCACTGGAGCACAGAAGCCAGCATTGAACATGTTTGGAATCCCACAAGTACAGTATTGAACGTTTGAGTGGTGAATTGAAGCCTCTTGGACGCTGCAAACCAATCAGCCATCCACCACTGACCTGCCATGCCCCAAAACAATACACCAAACTGTGTTGCAACACAACTATCACATCAATAATGCTGATATCCCGAAAATCCTTGAGCATCCGGTAACTCTACTCCAACTTTTTAGATTCAGAACTAATGAAGTTAGGTATCGAACTTCAAATTTTATTTGATATCTTGGCATGACATGTCATACCATAGCAAGCAAGATTACCATGTCCCAGCACAAGCACCACATGGCCTGACAACCTGTGCAGCAACAACTTGATCTTTTTTGCAACAACCCCAACACATGTCTTATAACAATCACCACATCACTAAATTGTGACAATTTTGCCACAGTGTGGAATGGTGTTGTGACAGTCTTACCACTGTGGAATGGTGTTTTTGTGACGACCTTGCCATCATAGACTGGTGTTTTGTGACGATCTTCCAATAATAGAGGGATGTTTTGTGACGATCTTCCCATAGTAAAAGGTTGTTTTGTGACGATCTTCCCAATAGTAAAAGGATTTTTTGTGACGATCTTCCCAAAGTAAAAGGATGTTTTGTGACGATCTTCCAATAGTAAAAGGATTTTGTGTGACGATCTTGCCATTGTAGAATGGTCTTTTGTGACGATCTTGCCATGTAAAATGATATGTTGTGACGATCTTGCCATAGTACAAGGATATTTTGTGACGATCTGGAGATGTTCAAAAGCCCATTTGTGACGAGTCTCATCTGATCGACATCTATTTTGTGACGATCTCAGGGTAGAGAAAGTAAATTTTGTGACGACTCTGAACTAACCATTAATGAATTTGAGACGATCTACTAATCTCAATCTGCACTTTTGTGACGACTTCGGCCCCGGGTCTTCACAAAACACCACCCATCCAGCTTAGTCTGAATTTAGACGAGCTGGGCCCCGGATCTTCACAAAATGATGGCTGCAAAAGCCATGGCGGTGACTAACACAACCATGGCACCCCAACGCTTGTAGGTGACCTTTCAGAGCATAGGTATATGTGACGAGTAGGGCCCCAGATCTTCACAAAACTGGTGTCTCATTGGGTCTTCAAATTTGTGAAGAATAGACTCTTCTTAAACAGAATTGGTATATTAGGAGGGTTGAGAAACTTTGTCATTGTAAACTATGCCAGCTGACACAGGTCAGGTTGATAAATCCATTCACTGACAAACTGATTGAGCCGTTTCATAGGCATCATTGGCTACATCATACGCTGATTCCCAATGAAGGCCTTTGGCCCACAACTTTGCCGCAGCCCTGTAAACCACGGATTGTGCATGTTGGGTTCTGTATCGGGCTATCTCAGCCCGATTCACGCTGTTGTTGCCCGCTTGCAGATTTTCAGGCAGGTACCTGACATGAAGCACAAGGACGGGTGAGGACTGATATTTCAGTATAGTGCAGCTGGCATAAGTTAAGTTGTGATAGGCTAGGGGGGTTGTGGCAGTATCTGACGATTATAGGGTCACGGGCTCAAGGTTTTGCACCATATCAAGACCACCAGTTTCAGCACCAGGCCCAACAGCAGGGCCGAATGCTGGCAAAGACCTAGGTGAACAAGTGCTGGCTCATAAGAACTCTAAAGTGAAAGAGCAGGATGGAGTTAATGAAATTATTGTTGCACTGTAAAAAATCTGGGCCCCTAGCCAATTCACTTTCAAAGGCGGTTGTAAGTCCCAATTTCCAGTTGCCCATTGTGACAAACAATCAGCAGCCTGTGTCATGCCGTAGGGATGTTGTCCTCAGTCAAATTGAAGGTATCTTAGACATCGTGAAATGCAACAGCATATGATAGCAGATAGCATGCAATTTTGAGCTAATGTTTGTAAACCAATTTGATTGATAAACTGAGATTTACACTCATCATGTTGGCAAACTTCAGCACATCTTCATGGTTCCCAACAGGCTGAGTCAGGTCGGACTCCGCAACTGGCAAGAAGGATGGTATTGTTAATGGATTGTATGGTCTCAGAATCCAGACGATAACAAATAATATGTCCAGTGGTGTCCAAAGTTGATGCACCAAACATGGCCTGGAACAGAGACTCCCCGCATAAGGTCACATATGCTAGCTGGCAAATACAGAAGCATTTCAGTGTGCCAACAGGGATCAGATAGGTTCTGCTTTGTCCTGCCACAAACAGTAATGACACTTTCAAGCAATCTTGAGTTAAGTAGGAACTTAGTTTGATCTCCTGAGCACAACATCACGACCATGAAAAATTGCACGACGACGGCGCCAGAACTTGGTGTTGATGGCATCATGTTGCACACCTGCCAGCAAACAAAATGCTAAGATAACCACAAATCTTCACCACAAACATAGCAGAAAAAACATTGAGGTAATGTTTAATCTTGTTCGTCACAAACCAATATAACATAACAGTGGCACAACAAACAAGTAACAAGGTATGTAAAGAGAAGCCCAGGGCACCCAAATCTTCAATTCTGTCCAGTGCAAACACATGAGGCGCAGATGGACCCCCGATTCCAACGATGGTGTTTCTGCGACAGTGCAAAGCCAAGTAGTTTTTCCTGAGGTACGGGTTTCAAAATGATTCAAAAAATATATCGATGTTTTAGCATCCAACAAACGATAGCAGTGGATATTCTACTCAAAGAAGTGTAAGGAAACATTGCCAACAAAATCAATTGGAGGCACCAGTCCCGTGATTGGTCCATGAGAACTACCTCAGAATGTGGCTCTTGGGGCCGGACATCATCACGCTGGAGATAGTCTTCTAGCACGGTGACATAGTCAAAGGGGGTATGCAAACGATGGCCACCCTGTTTGATGACTGCCGACAAATTTGCAAAAAAACTGTCAACGTCCTCATGAGTGTGTCCACTCATGAGTGTGCGAACTTCTGCTCGTTTGATTTTCCCTTGTCCTGTCAACATTGATAAATATCGAACTACTGCGTTGTTTTTTATCTCTTTCGGCCCGTTGTCTCCTTGGATCAAGACCTCTGTTGCACGGAGGTCTTGCCCCCTTTCACGAAATCTTTCCAAAGTTCTGGCAAGGATGTCGACAGTCCTGTTGCTGCCTGCAGAAAGTCCAGGCAAAGACAATGCCAGCAAGAGATCATGACCATGAGCGATTACAGCAGTAGCTGTAAGCTTTGGAGCAATGAAACGATTGAATTCTTTTGCATGTAGGGAATGATCTCGTGGCCAAACATACTTGGCAGCATCCATGGAATCGCAAATGAGTACAATAGTTGATGGGGAACTGCACCCCGAAAATGACCTGGCAATATTCCGGGAATGCCAATATGTAACACGATCATTGTACTGTTGCTCCCTGTGTCGATCCAGGAGTTTCAACTGCATTTGTCTAGCCACTGTGCATTTTGCCAACTTTCTCACCATCAATTTGTATCTGACGCAAATGTTGCACTTGACATGAGCTGAATCAGAGCGCAGCTTGAGAAGGTCTCCAAAATTCAACTCCCAAACCTAGGCAGGATATAAATACCAGAAGCAAATGCCGCTGCACGAAAAAAACAACAAACCAAATCAGCCACACTTGTAGCAAATCAGAAAGCTAAGAATTGAACAGAGCAAAACAACTTGTAGCTGAAGGTCATTGTCGGGTGGGCCCTTCGGAGCATGGCTAGGTACTCATAGAACGACCCTGGTGGTAGAGCTTTCTCAATCAGCTGTGTTGTAGCAATCAAGTTTTTGTCATCTCTCTTCTTCACTGTACGGGGTCGCTTCGATGCACCAGTTCCCTCTGGCATTGGTTCGGCCAAGGTCTCATAGAGGTGGTGAAGAAAATCATGAACAATTTGTCTTTTCTGTGAATGCAGCTTGTCAGGGAACCTTTTCTTCACAAACCGCATGTCCATTGGACAATCATCATCCCCTTTACGAATTGAATCAATCAATCTCAAGAAGCGACCAGACCCCAGCCGCAGAAGTCGCTTGAAGGAATTCTGGCACACAGGCATGTCTAGCAAGGTCAATCTCTGAAGCTTGGACCCGTTGTATGCTGATCGAAGGCATGACCATACCTGATAAGAATCTGGATGTTTGAATCATCGAAGTTTCATCACTGGCAACAATATATGAACCTATGCATACACTGACAATTGTCAATTGACAACATGGGGCACCTCTTTATCGATCTCAAGTTTGTCCATACGAGCCAGCTTCCGCAAGTGGTCAATGAGCAAGCTGAATCTAGAAGACTCTCGGAATGGCAGGAAACAATTTTTTCCTTGGCGTTTTCCTTTGGAACACCGGCATTTGCTCTGAACTATCGCCCTGGTTCTTGCTACCATGTCCTTCTTCTTCAAGCCATATGCATTCCCTTTCTCTACAGGATTGGTATTTTCCCTTGTGGAACTGCATCCAAGTAGTCTGACTACCCGAGCCTTCTTCTGAACGGTTTTCTCAGTCGAACAACTAGGCCTCTTTGATGGAGCTCTCACAGGAGTAACGAGATCACCACACCCTTCTTCATCAGAAAGGGTGTCAACATGTGCAAAACAACTTCCAGCATGTGCCATTGAACCCAAACTGCCCAAGAATAGAAATTGAAACACTTATTGTGATCACAATGACAAGACAACATACTGAGTGTTCAGCAGATGCCAGGAACGACAATGTTTTCCCCGCTGCAAGGTTTCAACGGACACATGTCAATCAAAGCAAGCTTATGGCCAAATTGAGTTGAATTGACATGAATTAACTAGGCACAAGATGTCTAATTGGCAGCACACTGCTGCAATCTAAAAGAGCCAAGGGCTGCCCGGGCTCAGTACATTCGATCCCACCTTCGAGTAGCATTTGAAGTCATAAGACCCACCTGAGACAAAGCATACACAGCTGAACACATACACCACATTGGAAATAAACATTTGCCCAACATGTGATATAGGCACCTTGTAGGCGAGAAACGTTGGATTATAGTCGTCCTTCTTGTCAATCAGGTTCTTTATCTGACAGAGCCCATGCAAATCCATATAGCTGTCATTGAATAAAAATGAAATATGCTGAGGACATTTGATATTTATGTTTGAATCTATGCAACAGCACCTCTTCCAAAAGAAGGGAAGCCTCTGTGTTAATCACAGCTTTGATCTTGAGCTCCTTGGCCTGCAGTTGGTGTGCAAGTGTGTTGAACATATTCAAGCATGCATGATAATAGTTTGAAGTTGAACAAGTTGAACAAATAGCATTGCACCTTCCGCTCAGTGACCACGGGGTCTTTTGCCTGCAGGGTTAGCTACAGAAATAAAGCCAAACCAACGCCACTTGAACAAACACACAGCAAAATGGTCGCCTCAAGGGCTTCCTCAAGCTTACGTTTCTTCCTTAGACATGCTATTTGCACAGTTGCCTAGAGAAAGCACAGTGCCTAAAACAAACCACACGCACATGACCACGTAAGAGCTGAGGAGCACACTCAAGGCCCCTCATGAGTTCTACCATGAAAGGGTGTTCAGGGTCCTGTAGCAATGAAATTAGTGTAGTCACTGTGAAGACCATTTTGTGTGTCGCAGGACCTCCTCCAATCGCCAAAAGGAATCCTCAAAGCGCTGGCCGGGAACCACAGTGTAGATTGTAAAATTCAGTGGATTTGTGTTTAGCAGGATGCCACAATCTCTAACCATAATATTCTGTAATTGCAATTATTGAAACAACCACGTAATCTACATACACCAAGTTGCATCGCAAACAGCTGTGAAATCATCAAGCATTTTTTGATTCCTGCGCTGCCACTATTGCCTTCATTCTGAAAGCTTGTGCTCCAGCAATGTACTGTAACAAAGCGATGAATTGTACTTGCACATGCTGGAGGGTTGAACGATTGATGACAACGATTTGTAATCACAAGTTGTTTGAAATTGTTTGAAAATTTGAATTTCTTGAGATTTGGTATCTTGACATGTGAGCCATACCCACTTGTCCTCCTCTGTGCTCTGTGCTGTTGTGGCTTACCCACAAAAAACAAATTAATGTCAAATTATTATCAATATCGGCCATAGGTACGCTTTCGCTGGTACCAGCCTTCCTGGCAAGAATCACAGGTATGGTTGTTGTGCTTCAAGCGTCTTCGAGCAAATGGTGTGTTTGCCTGCTGCCTCAACATTCTCTCCACCCTGGTGCATGCTTCTCCACAGGCACATGGTACTGGGCACATGCTGCGCACTGACTCTGGTGGTGGTGGGCGTGGAGGTGTTGGGAGGCGATTCTCTGTTCTCCCCGCGGTGTAGCCATGTTTGCTACTGCTTTGGCTTTCTTGTTGTTTGGAAGCAGCCCGCATTGCTGATTGCACTAGTGAGTCCACATTTGCTGTCAGTTTTGTTCCTTGTGGAGAAGTTGGGACGGGAGCTGCTTGGCCATCCTTCTCTTCTGCAGGGGATGTCACTTCTTGGGGTTCTTCTTTTATCTCCTTCTCAGGCTCTGCTTTCTCCATGTTTGTCGTGTGTGTTACATTGGAAGGCTGGTGCCAAGGAGGTCTCTGGGCCGGCTTTGGGGCTGCCTGAAGGGCTGCTGTTGCTTCTAAGTCTTTCTCTATCTCTTCTGCCCATTCCTCAGCCTCTGCCACCTGCAATCTTTTTCTGGCCTCCTCAAGCTTCCAAGTTGCATATTGTAGTTCCTCCTCTCTAATCAGAACTAGTTCTTGTAATTCACGAATAGTGGCCATGTTTCCTATCATCCATTTTATTGCTTGGTGATGTATTGAGCCAAAAGGACCTAGAAGCAACGGTCATTTCCAATGTGGATGTATGTTCTGTCATGTCAGCAAAGATCACATAAAAATTACACAAATTAGTAATTGGAAATGCAACAGCTAAATCAAGCACAAAATGATACAGGACATTCAAATAACTAAAAAAACAATCTTACAACTCTCGACTGAGGTGTGAACAGGCAGGTCATCACCGTCAGTGCTGCGCTCAGCATTTTCTACCTCAGCTGCATGCCATGTAGCAAGGGTTTACAACCACAGCTGCCAGACATGCACAGAAACACAAGCACTACCAATGTTTACATACTGGTGTTTTGTTATGTTGTGTTGATGTCTTGGATTGATGACACTTGACCTGCACTATGTCAATCTAAGGACATGGCATCGACAAGAACCATGTTGCAACACTACAGCTTGGCTATACAACACAAATGCTTGAGCATGGACGGTGAACAACGTTGGTGAAACTACATGTTAGTGTGATAAGCTGGCAACGAACAATGCTTGCAATGCAAAATAAGGCTCACAAGATATTAGATTCACAAGATGTTTTAACATGTTGCAGCGGTGCAAGCAAACAAACAAACAAACAAACAAACAAACAAACAAACAAGTAATCAAGCCAGGCAGGCCCAAGCAAGATGACGAGCATGTTGTGAATTCAAGCCAAAATGAGTAGCACATACAAACAACCACTTGAAACCCTATCTCAGCATGTTGCAATCATGTTGTACCCATGTTTGGCTAAGATTTTTTTATTGTATCCAAAATGAGTGCATTTGCTCATCGGCATTTTGATTTTAAGACCCAAGCACGCTGAGCTCAACACGATCCCCAGCCACCAATATGGCAGCAAGCAAGTTCAACGAATTTGTATTGAGACAAGTGCGGCATCATACAAAACCACACTGAGTCCCGGATTGAAAGCATCCAATTAAACATAGATCTAAGAAACCGACAGCTACACACCCGAAGACTTGCACAACAAGTGAGCTGCAAAGTTGGCCAACTGAGGCACCACGATGTTGCCCATGGATTTGAGACGTTCACGTTCATCATTGGTCAAATTTGACTGAAGCCAGTTCAACACCTGTGGCTTGGTTTGAGGCTGCCACTGTTCACCTGGATACTTGTGAAGCTGGTGCCCTGTCATCAAGTTCTCCAAGTCCTGACACAATGACACTGGCTTCCAACCAACTAGAAACGTGGAACATTGCAATACCAGAGCCAGGAATGAATCAGCAAAGAACATCAGCGCACAGGTAGCCTCCGCAAATGTGAAGCCAGGTTTTTTGGCCAGGATGAATACCCTCTTGCGCCAGGTCTTAGAATCAATATAGTCCAATTAAGAACCAACATAATTGAGATTCCAGTAGCTACTAAATATGTTGATCACTGTCAGAATTTACATACATCAAGGTAGAAAGCTGTTTATGTGAAGGTACCTAGCTGAGGATCGGACCGGTGCTCCCACATTGTGCCCCGAAATTGATGTCCAAGAAACTTCAAATCCTCGGCGCGTCAGCTCCTGAAATGACCCGAGGGTACAAGTGGCAATTGAGATAGTTGTGCAATTATGTTGGTGTTGCTACTATCAATGTTTTTTTGATTGCACTGACAAACAACCCCAATGTGTCCTCAAGGATGTACTGCATAAATGGTAACATGTCCTTGCTCAAGAGGCTGAAGACGTTCTCCAAGAAAATCCATTGCCTAAAATGTAAAAACTGTTTCGTGAAACATGCAACGCCTTCAGCAAACACCTGTGGTAACAAGCATGCACATGCTGCACACAAGTGACAAGTTGGGGAGGGAATCCGCTTGTTCCCACACTTCACCTATCAAAGAAGATCTCGAATCCAGCAGCCCGGCCATCAACCCCGCTTTGCAGATACCCTTGGAGAAAAGACAATTGGATCAATCAAATGTTGTTTCAACACCGCAAAAAAAACAAAAATAGCCATGACAAGGGAGTCAAACAAAAAACACTTGCTACTAAGAATCTTGGCATGGGAAGCCAGCTGTCAATCCAGTGCACTGTTGCATCATGCGAGCAGTTGGTCTGAAGGTGCAGACATCGTCGTAGACCGGTACAAGGGGCAAGACACCATCTTGCATGCGTTTGGCCAAGACTGAACGGCAGTGTGGGCTGATTTCAAGCTTAAGCAACATTGACACATAACAACCATCATATGTTCATTTAAAAAATACACAGGAAACAAATAATGTAGTAACACTGTTCTGGTTATAAGACTTGCAGTGACAAATAAGGCAATGATAATTTGTGACAAACACAGCAGTATTAAAATAATCCATTGTGCTGAGGTCCGCTCGAAAGCCATGGGCTTGCAAAACCTTGGTAATATGTTCTTGAAAATCTTGTAAAAGAAGTTCTTGCAAATCCCAATTCTGTTTTTTTCAACATGCCCTCAACTCAAGTTTGCCCAAAATAAGGTTGAACAAACAACACCCCCTTGTACTGAGTAGTGGACGCCGACAGTCCAAGTTCCAATCCTCCAATCCCGGAAAACAGAGAGATGCACTTGTGCTGGGCCACCTGAGGAAAATGGTAATCAACATTCAACAAAAGTACATTATTTTTGGATAGCACTGTAATCTATGAACAATCAAGACTGTGGATTAAAGGATATAAAAGGATAAGTGCTGACTGAGTATAAGGCAGGAGTTTTTTTCCATGGGCAAGCTTGCAAAAGATCACAAGTTGACACGGTGCTGCTTGGAGAACTCCATCCACGAGGGAGCCCTCACATGCTGCACGGGCAAAAAGATCGATATATTGCACCCTAAACAATGCATTGCACTAAGTCTGGTTTGTGTTTCGTGTGATGGCCTGAGAGATGCTCTGCCATCGGTAATGACAGATACTTGCCTTTCTTTTGCTTTGCTGCTTTGCATGCACTGGTGTACCATGTGGAGTGCCAAATCTGTGTAGCAAGATCCTGCAAATCAATTCTAGCAACAAGTACAGCCACCTATTCAAGTTCAGTGCAACTTCCAACATGTTGTGAAAAGTCCTGCTTGCCACGGGTAGACAAATAGCTGCCATTTGCTGTGTAGGTTGCAGAAAAGCATCCTCCAACAAGAGCAACCATTTAAAGTATTTACAGCAACCATGCAGTCGCCTATTGTGTTGCATTGTATTACAGTCTGTATGTTGATGGCACAAAGTGTACAAAAAAAAAGTCTGAGATTCCTACTTAAGCAACCCATCGATTGAAGGATCACCTTCCCAGTCAAAAGCTTCACATTGGGCTGAGTCTTTGGCTTTCGGGGTGCAACCTGAGCCGGAGCTGTGCTTGCTGTTCACTACTGCTGTTAACATGTTTGCAACATGTTTCCTATCATGACAATATATAAAAGTGTTGTTCGTCAAACAAAAACTATATAGAAGAACAAATGAAAACAACCAGATTAAAGACATGAAACAAGCTCCATGTTCAGCTTTCGTCGAGGAGTTTGTGGAAAGCCCGCTGCTGTCCATGTAGAAACCTTTCCCTTCACACAACGTCCATGCTGGGGAAACAGGGATTTACCAACAACCTTTCTCACAATCTTGGAGCTCTTCTCCTTCTTGACAGTGCCCTTCACCATGTCCACGTCAGAACTCAGCACACAACAACCATATACAACAACCCCATACTCAACAACCCCCATACACAGAAACCCCATACACAACAACCGTGCAGCAAACATCACATCACCATCAGTGTTTTCAGGTGCTAGCTAAGACGCACAGCTGTCAAAGTGTAAGTTGTGTACTCACTGAGTTCAGACACGTCGGCAAACATGTCAAAGATTGGTCCAAAATGGCTTCGAGAAGCGGCAACAAGACCAAAACAGATTATTCTATTATCAAGGGTTGCTATAATCATGTAGTATAAATCCTACTATAATACATCAGCCAAACACACAAACAATTCTCATAATATGTTGAATATACTGGAACCCCTGATACAAATTGGAACCCCGATTAGTAGGCAAAAATTTTATGATCATAATATGACTTAACACAGAATTTCTTTTGTTTTGTCTCTTTAGGATCCTGTAGAATCCTTTAGGGTTCAGGGGTGAAACGAACTCAATGCCCATCATTTTGCTGTCAGTCGAAGAGCTGCAGGACTTCTCGGCCTTGGTCCTAGACGAGCGCGGAAACCAAGCATGAAATATCTTTGATGACGGATGTTCCATCGTCTAGAATATATCTATATAGATATATAATATTGTATATAATACATTTGAACATCCAGTGTTGCTATTTGGACATAGCTTGCTTTCGAAGGAGTTCTGCACAGTGGTTGTGGTTCTTTTCCTTGACCGTGTGGGCCGTGACTGCGTTGGTTCTTTTGGAGGTGCCCAATTTGTGTCTCCGTAGCTTCCTTTCAAGACGGACCTGCACCGCATCTGCATTCTGCGGTGCCACTCACCTTGACATGAAACCCTGGCCAGCCTGATCAACAGCCAAATCTCATGTTGCGCAGCAAGTCTTTGATAAACCATCGATATTAAACCTGTGTATTGTTCCAGACTGCACTGAACAGCGCAAAGGATTCGCTGCCTCATGTCGGTCTCTGTGGATATTCCTGGACATGGTCACTTTGATATCAAACTGACTGCTTCGAGCACCGCTGCTGACATTATTTTACTGCTACGTGAGCGTTTGCCAGACAGCCCATGGCATGGGAACAAGTTGCTGTCAAGTGGGGTCTGCCAGCTACAGTGCGATGACATTGTGGAGGCAACCCGCCACAGCACTTTAGTCTTGACAAACTACTCAGAGACTCAGAGATCACCAACCAGGAGAGAAACCTGCAGCTTTGTTTCTTTTTTCAATAGGTAATGCAGACCATGCCAGGTCCTCCGCAGCCAGTAGCAAATCACGATTAGAAACTAAATGCCAACAAGTACCCATTGCAACAAGTGCAGCAGTGTGATGAACCGATTCAATTTTGAACTGGTGGCTTGTGAGATCTACTTGATAGTGGGGGAACAGTCGGCCACTGAACAGGCGCCTTTGTGCATTGAGACCATGTGAAACAAAGGCAATACAACCAATAGGATCAAATAGAACAAAGAGAAGCCATGTTTAGAAGTCAATCTTTTGAAATTCAGAGATTGCAGGCCCATGATTCCCATGATTGAACCTTTTGAGGGTACTGCACAATGCTTTTTGAATTCCATTCCAATTTCATTTGCTGTATTTGTTGGTCGCCCCACACACGTCGAAGGAGACTTTCTGCATCAAAGATACTGCAGAGCGAGGGATCACACGCGAGCAATTGGCAAAGATCGTTGTTTTCATCTCCAAGATGGCTGACAGATGGTGCGAGACTTTCGGAGAACAGCGTGGGACAAGGCTGCAATTTGAGACGTTCAACTTGTATCATGCGAATCACTGGATCATCAAACCAGCCACCGAAGCCTGGATTTGTTGATGATGTGACAACATTTTCCAATTTGAAGAATCTACCGTTTTTCTTTTTTAATTGGCAACATTATGTAGAATCCCAGGACGGCTATGCGAAAAAGGGCTGCAGCATGGTAGAGCTCATGGCGATTCAAGTTCAGAGACCTCATTGGTTTGTGTCACATGCTTGGATCGAGCCTTGGATAGGCAAACTCTCAAGCTTGTTTGAGACCGTGCTATTGCATTTTGTCTGTCAGCAACAAGTTGCTTTTTCCGCTAATAATTCACATTCCCCTAGAAGCCTTGGTTGAGTTTTGGACTTGTTCATTTCGGACCCTCAATAGGATGCTGTATCAAAAAGAAATGAACATCGAGCGTAATGATAGATGAAAGTCAATCTATTGCTTTGAAGCACGTCCAATTTTGTGTTGGGCAGATCTGTGAGGAGCCTGTTTGTAAGTTTCTGGCCTGCTTGGAGCAGCATGCTCTGGTGCGAGAACTCTCAAGCAGTACATTCTATTGGGTCTGTGCATATGCCAACAACCAGCACTGCGTGGAAGAGGATATCAAAAGCAACCCACGCAGCACTTCATTCTACAGAGCTATGCAGATGTCTGAGGGAGTTCTTTTGGTGCTGGATTCAGCTGGAACGCCTTTCGAAAGGATTTGGTGCTGCTTCGAGGAGGCCATTGCCCCAGCCTTAGAAATTCCTAGAAAGCATCATAGAACGAGAAACATGTGACATGAACGTGAGTTTTTTTCGTTCGTGAGTTCTGCTTGAAGGGACACGTTTTGAGTCCAGCTAGCAGCTAGCTTGTTTCAGTGCAAAATGCGAAACACAACCAAACAGCATGATCGCTTGGTTGATTTGCATACATGTGAATGGGGGATAACGAGCAGGAGCAACACCAGGTCATGTTCGTAAAGGCAGGCAATGTTTCAGTACATAGTGGATCGAAGGAGACACTGGTGTAAACAATTCCGGTATTTTCACCCTAAAAGCGACAAAGGCGATCGAACATCGAGAGGGCAACTGGTCCAGACGACGTTTGCTGCTTGATGTGGGAGCCACTGATGCATATGACAAAGCTACTCGACACAGAAGTGGTGTCCTTGTGTGGACATTTCCTTTGCGTGGTCTGCTCGAAAGGTTAAGACCATCGCCTTTTACCGTAACCCCCATTTCTGCACCATGGTGAACCTTTTCACATCACCTTACTGTAAGCCTGCCTTTCCATATATCTTTATAAAGAGGTGATAAGTGAAAAGTGATATCTTGACCGTTCCGAATTTGTTGATCTCTGAGGCTCACGTGCTTACTGATGGACTTGCTGGAGCAGAAAGTCGAATGATTGGCATCATCGGGTTGCACCACAAAGCAGCTCGTGAGCGTCACTTTCCTCTGGACCTTTTGGAAAAGGACTTGAAGGTAAAGATTGAAGAAACTTGGTGCGGGATTGCAAGAAACCTCAGCTGTTTTGATGTTGTTTGGAGAACCATTTTATCCATTTGGACGATCGATTGAATGGACAAGGTCCATGGTCCATTGTTCCATTTGCATGTTAATATAATATAATATATATATATGGGTCATTCTAAGTTCTCTCTTTTTCCAGAAGGTGAGCGAGCCATAATCATGAGTTTGAATGTTAGACAGCTCAAGGAAGCTCATGCCACGCAGAACATCGACAAAGTGCGGATTCTGAACAGCATAGCTCTTTCTCGTCTTGGAACTTGTGACTTTGAGCTTTTGCAGTCGTACCCCGCTGGGGATCCGAATTTCCAGCGAGTAGATGAAGCTCTTGCTTCGCACTTCGCTTTATGCAGCTGGTACGGATTTGTCCTTCAAGGAAGATGCACTGAACTCCTGGCCAGGGCTGTAAAAGCAGACGTTGGTAGAAAGATAGTGCAGCTTTCACTGACTGGGTGCCGGAATTTCTCTGACCATGAGCTTGACGTGCTGATCCAAAGCCTACCTGCAGAGTTGCGCGTCTTGCGATTAGATCTGGGATTCTCGGGTCTTGAGACTCTGGACATGTTTACATCGACGGTGCAGTGTTTGAAATCTTTGGTCCAGTTGAAGTTGCGCTTCACAGGTTCCTCGCACTTCAGGACTGCGGCAGGGCTTGGGGTTGCCCTGAGAGAGATGGAGAGCCTCATGTACTTGGAGCTATGGTGCGCTGAGTTGTGAATTTCCAGTCACATTTTTCTTCATCTTGAACCAGCAAAAAATATGATTTTCAGCTTATTGTTTGCTGCGCTTTCTTTTTGATTCCATGGACATGATATTGTTATTTTGATTTTTCTCAGCTGCCACGGTCCAGTGGCTGCAGGTTCATGAACTTGCCATGTTTGGAAGAATTCGGATGCTTCAGTTCTGCTTTGCAGTCTTCGCGAAATCTGGAGAGTATAGTCGTTGATCTCAGTGGATGTGGCCAGGTGTCGATTGATGCGAGGATGGAACTTCACCAATCCATCAAGTCACTGAAATGGTTGCGAATCAGCTTGGACACTTGGGTGAACATTGAAGGTTTGCCAAGGCGAGACTGGTTCTCTCGATTTGCTCATGTTGATTTTGGCGGTGTTATCAAAGCGCGTTGCACCCGGGGCTTCCGTTTCATCTGGCAACGGATGCGACAACTCAGTGCCCGCCAGCTGCCACACGTCAGCTCAGTGTACTTTGAGCCAACCAGGTTTGGCAGGTCCAGCGCCACAAGCAGTGATGAATCAGCTGGAGAAGATGCAGGGACAGAGATTCACAGCACTCAACAGGAGATGTTCGATGAAGGCAGACCGTTCCCATGCAGCCATCCTTCATGTCATTCTTTTCATTCTTCTGAGAGCGGTTATTGCGAAAGGCACCGCTGGTCGGGCCTTTTCAAGAGGATTTGTGTTGCGGGAAATGCTTGGCGCCAGAATCTGGAGCTTAGTGTGCTGATTCTTGCACAAGCAGTGGCAGAGGTAGAGAGCCGATTTTTGTTGGTTCTTCTGGTTCTCGGCCTGTTGCCCGTTGCAAGTTATAGCATTTCTCAGTCAACAGGAGTGTCTGGCACGTTGATTTTTATGATTGTTATCTCAATAGCAATTGTCAGCATTTTTTACACCACAGCTCGGCTCAACAGAATGCAAACACTGTCAAGGAGGCTTGAAGTTGAATCGGAAGCTTTGTACGCAAAGAATTTGCAGAATGACATGTCCAGGCTTTTTGGTGATTGGGGTAGAGACGATATTGCCCAGCCTCAAGTCACAAGCTTGACGGAACACTTCGTCGAAGCCAGAAAGCATCTTGATGACTTCGACAAGAATCTGTGCCTTCCACTGCGAGAGTTCTTGGAGGAGCAGCCTGGTTCCATATCTCGGCAAGCTTTGCGGCCCGTACTGATGACAGTGCCAGTGGCACAAGATGCTTTCATGCGAGAAGGTGGATGGGACAAAATCTTAGATCTCTTGTATTGCGATGTAATCTTCGATGATTGGGAAAGAATGCTCAGTGCGTGGTGCTTTCTCAAAACCAGAGCAGAGCATGATGAGTTGAGAGAAATCGAGATTGTGCGTACCCGCGATTCTTTTGCTTCAGTCCATGCTGGTGTCAGATGTGCCGAGATGGTGGTCAAGATCAACCACTATTTAGCCACGATCCGTTTCCGTGAAGCCTCTTTGACAAAGCTGGAGAATCAAGTGGATGATGTGCACCACTTGGCAGGACAGGTGGGACTTGTGGCGGGCAGTTTGCAGGTAGATCCTTTGCTTATGTCTGGGCGACCAGCACAGCAATCACGATTGGTCGGTGTTGTTGCTTTGCTTCGGATCAGCTCATTACTTGCAGCAACGTACCTTGGGGGGCAATACTTTGTGCGGTACAGTCCACCTTTCATCCGTTCCAAGCTTCCACAATTGATCCGAGATGCATTTGCTCTCAAGCAGACAGTTGAGTCCAGTGATGGGAGATTGCCGGAGGTTACCACTTCTGATTCTGGAGGATGGTTGGAGGAGAGCCTTTCGCAGCTGTTGCCTTCCATGGTTTTCTCTTTGCCATACCTGGCCTTGATCATCGTCCTCTTGAGCGACTTGCGCCGGTGTCGGTCAGCCAATATCAAGTTGAGACCGTTGAAGCCCACCCAGCTGCTCTATGAGGAGTATTTTGGCATTGAAGGCAAGCTCTACGGCTTCAAGGTTGCAATGCTGCAGTTATTCACAGTGATGCTACAGGCCTTTGGAAAGCTCCAAATCATGGGTGGCCTTGTGTCCTTTGCATTCCATTCAGCTCCGAAGCATTCAGGTGCATTCGAAAGATGCTTTTGGACTTTTATGGGTTTCCTGTGTTTGAGCAGTATCTATCCATCGATTTTGTTGGCCTTCCCTTCTGTGAAGCGGGTGCGGCGTGGTGCTGCCATGATGAATGCAGTTCTTGATATTGCTTACACCAGCACATACCTCATCATCACGTTGCTGGCCATCCACGAACTACAGCTGGGCCAAGCCCTTTCAGGAAATTTCGGGGATGAGGCTTCTGTGAACTTCCAAGCAGAATTGGACCCGGCATTTGCGTTCCCAGCCGACTTTTTTGGTTTCTTTGCTGTTTATTATTCACTTGCACATGTTTGCACTGTTTGCCGTGCCTTAGAGCGAAGCGATCGATCGACCTACTGGAAGAAGTTGCAAAGCTTACCGAACTCTGCTTCCCAGTCACTGCTGAGCCCATCGAGATTTTCTTGCTCAAAGAGATATCGGATTTGTTGCAAAGCATTGCATTTTTGCTGCATTGGTTTCGTTATGTTTCGTTTTATGTTGTCTCTGCAATTTTCAATCCATCGTGGTTTCGCAACCTGTTGGACCTGTTGACACAATTTGTCGTGTGAGTATCTCGAAGCCCCTCAACATATTTGTACAGAGGAGGCGTCTTGTTGTTCTCAGCTTTACTGTACTTGCTGCACCCTTGTGTGCGTCCTAAAGCATACACCACTTCTAAAGTTGTTGTTCCCCAGCATCAACAGCTTTGCAATCTCAGCCAAGGGGGTTCCAGGGCTTTTGAAAGGTTCCACTTCTTAGGAGTTTCACAGGTCCAGGATTCCGAGGTGCATTCCAAGTATTTCAGGAGTTCCAGGGTTCCAGGATTCCACAGTTGCAAGGTGCTGTCGGATGGCATAGTCCCAGCAAAGGCACTCGTGAAGTTAAAAAAATGATACCTATATCATACCGATATTTTCAATGTCAATCCCCTTGAAATTTGGTTTCTGGGATGGCCCCCTCCCTTTCATTCCATCGGGCTTTGATGGATGAACTCGAGTTCTTTGTTTCTCCTTGCAACTACTGCTCAGGTATTCGCCCTGTTTGCTTGTAATGATCATTGCTCTATTGCTTTCAACGCACTTCTACCCGATTCACACGGCTGATTTCGGATGCTTTCCGTGCCGCTGTCACCAAAAGGATCATGGTGCAAAGCACCTTGCGAGTTGCAGCCTTATAGGCATTCTTCGCCTCAAAGATGTGAGCTTGAGTGAGCAGGACATCACAAGTGTTGCAGAGGATGCCTTCACTTCTTCACGGAGTTTGCAACGGTTATCGCTCTCTGGCAATCGGTTGTCATTTTTACCTGAGAAGGTGTTCGCTCCTTTGGACAGCCTGCAACTCTTTGACCTGGGCCGCTTGGGTTTGCAACAGGTGGAGTCAGACACATTTGCTGGGTTGTCAAGTTTGAGAATCTTGTCCCTCAGCCAAAATCGTTTGAACGCATTGCCAAAAGACTTGCTGCGCCCCATGCCAGCCCTGCAGCAATTGTTGCTGGGGGGTAAATCTGATGAGAGGGGCCATCGCATCGTTGATGGAAACGAGCTGAGCATACTCCCGCAAGAGCTTTTGCAGCACAGCCCGCGGCTACAAGTTCTCGATCTGAGCGAAAACGACAAGTTGACCTCGCTGCCAAATCACATCTTTGATAAGACTCCTTTGCTGCAGGCCCTCGACCTTGCCTCAAACAAGCTGACTGAATTGCCAGGCAAAATCTTTTCAGGGCTCAGCAAACTCCAGAAGCTGGACCTGAGTCGGAACACTCTCAGTGAGCTACCTGCCGAAGTCTTTTCCGGGCTCGGCAAGCTCCAGGAGCTGGACCTGGGTTGGAACAGACTCAGTGAGTTGCCTGATGAAGTTTTTTCCGGGCTCATCAACTTGCAGGAGCTTGACCTGCAAATCAACGATCTCAGCGAGTTGCCTGCTGAAGTCTTTTCCGGGCTCGGCAGGTTGCAGGAGCTCCACCTGGGGTACAACTCGCTCACTCGGTTGCATGCTGGAGTCTTTTCAGGACTCAGCAACTTGCAGGAGCTGGACCTGGGGTCCAACAAGCTTAGTGAGCTACCTGCTGAAGTCTTTTCCGGGCTCAGCCAGTTGCAGAAGATCAACCTGCATTATAACAAACTTAGTGAGTTGCCCGCTAATATCTTTTCCGGGCTCGGCAGGTTGGAGGAGCTGGACCTGAAGTTCAACAAGCTCAATGAATTGCCTGCTGAAGTCTTCTCAGGTCTCAGCAGCTTGCAGAAGCTCAACCTGGGGTACAACTCGCTCACTCGGTTGCATGCGGGAGTCTTTTCAGGACTCATCAACTTGCAGAAGCTCGACCTGACTGACAACTGGCTTAGTGAGCTACCTGCTGAAGTCTTCTCAGGGCTCAGAAATTTGCAACATCTCGACCTGGAGTACAACTCGCTCAGTAAGTTGCCTGCCGAAGTGTGGGCCAATCTGTTTGCAGGGCTCAGCAAGTTGCAGGTGCTCTTTCTGAGTCACAACAAACTCGGCGAGTTACCCGCTCAAGTCTGGGCCAATATGTTTTCAGGGCTCAGAAGTTTGCAAGTTCTGAGCCTGGGGACCAACAAGCTCAGCAAGTTGCCGCCGAAGTGTGGGCCCATCTCTTCGCAGGTCTTAGCAACTTGCGGACGCTCAAGCTGAGGTACAACAGGCTCGGCGAGTTGTCTTCTAAAGTCTGGTCCAAATCGTTTGCAGAGCTCAGCCACTTGCAGAATCTTGACTTGAGCAACAACGATCTCAGCAAGTTGCATGCTGGTGTCTTTTCCGGGCTCGGCAACCTGCAGACGCTTGTCCTCTATGGGTGCAGGCTGAACGAGTTGCCTGTCGAAGTCTGGGATCATCTGTTCGCAGGGCTCAGCAACTTGCGGTTGCTCTGGCTGCAGTACAACAAACTCGGCGAATTAGCCGCTGAAGTCTGGGCCAAAATGCTTTCAGGGCTCGGAAGTCTGGAAGAGCTTTGGCTAACCGGCAATGATCTCAGTGATTTGCCGGCAATTTGTTCGGCTATATGGTGTGTCAACTGAGATGGTCAACTGAGATGTCCGGCTATGCGGATGAAGGATTCCTTGTCTGTTTCGGCGAAAATGATGGGGTGCTCTGCCATCTGTCCGCTTGGTAGGGTTGTGGCTAGGACTGGTTCCTGGGTATAGATCACACAGTCAAGCGACGAGATTTCACATTTCACCCACTTCCAACAACCCCTTTGAATCATTTTGAATCTAGTTGCAATGCATTTCATATGGTTTGTCCTCATGATATTTATTGCATTCTATTCTTGTTTCGTGATTTTTTGGGGCGTTTTGAGAGTAGCACCTGCATTGGGCGACCAAGGTCCAAGGTGGCAGTGGCACCTGGCGCGCAACTGGAGAGACGTTCGCAGACCGAGGCATCGGAATGTCCTGTCGAAGTCATCAAAAAGTTATCAAAGTCTTCAGTCGAAGTCTTCATGAAGCTTTCAGTTCTGGTGTGATCTCTGTAAGTTTTCAACCTCCATTGTTGGGATGTCTTCCCGGGTATTTGCGGCTTGCCTTTGCTTGGAAACTCGTTTTCAGTCTTTGTAGGGTTCAAGATTGGCCCTCTTGTGGTGAAAGGCTTCCTCCACCAAGAAAAAGACAGAGTCTGAAGGGAGCAGAACAGAAGTTGTTTCTTTGAAAAACGTGGAAAGAAGCGCTGAGATAGGTGTAACCACTGTGTCCACCGCATGAAGTGCTGAGCGCTGCCATTTGGCACGCTGCGCCTTGGACCAGGCACCAATGGCTCCAAATGGGAACATCATGCCGAGAGTTTTTGCGTTTCGACAAGTTGTGGGTGTATGACCATTCCTTTTAAGAACATGACAACATCATACAACATAACACGATATAACACCATTTGAATCCAGAATCTGACGCGTGGGGTCGATCCGCTGGGTCAAAATCCATGGCTTAGCTGGGAAAAAGGTGCCTGGACTTGACCCTGAAAGATCTCAAATGTTTTGGATTGTTTTGGTGCATCATTTGAGGAAAGCTTTGCAGATAGTAACAATTGCCAGGGTTTCTACCATGGAGGACGATGCAGCAAGGGTTAGGGTTTATCCATGTACACGCTTACAACATCTTATCAATGCCAGAACTTGTATGGAAGTTCAACAATGTTCAACACCTTCAAGTTGAGATGGTTTCCATTGTTTGCGATGTTTCGCCACTCAATGTGTGGACCGATGAAGGACAAGCATGTGACTATTCCGCAAGCTGCTCCATATTACGGCTTTTCACATGTGCACACACCATTACACAACTTGTGTGGGGATTCCGATATTTAGACACCAGTTATCTTGATAAAGGGCGCCTTATCCAAAAGTCCATAGTTTGCTGGGACTATGTCCCCGAAATGGGCTTCGTACGGGGAAAAAGATGAGGGCTTCATCCCAGCGCTGCAGGAAAAACTCACTGCAGCGGCTCGAACGCCCAGTACTGCGCGATTGACGAGTTTCGAGAGTCGTGGGGTGAGGACATGGCCAAGGATTTAGAGTTGATACTCGTACCAATTGACATACTACTAGTAACACGAATTTTTATCATGAAAACAACGGGATTATGACCTTGATTATCATTGGATATCATTGGCAGCAACATTTCTGGAACATCTGGAAGATTGCATACATTCCCATCATCTTTCAAGCACTATGCGGCCCATGGATTTTGGACAGGTCAACTGCATTGAGAGACAACGATTTTCCGAATTTCGGTTGAGGCTCGGTATTCCAAGAGAAACCCGGGTCCACCTTCCCTGTCCCAGAGAGATGTTGAGGCCCCCGGTGCAGGGAGGAAGTGCTTCCAACCCCAACATGTATCCTTTGGTTGTGAAACCTGGTGATAGGAAATCCTGCTTTTACAGTTGACTTTCCTATTGAAACATTGGGTTTTCACGGCCAGGCTACGCTATTGGAGGATGTACATGTCAGAAGTTGGATTATAGATGATCATAATATGACTTAACACAGAATTTCTTTTGTTTTGTCTCTTTAGGATCCTGTAGAATCCTTTAGGGTTCAGGGGTGAAACGAACTCAATGCCCATCATTTTGCTGTCAGTCGAAGAGCTGCAGGACTTCTCGGCCTTGGTCCTAGACGAGCGCGGAAACCAAGCATGAAATATGTTTGATGACGGATGTTCCATCGTCTAGAATATATATCTATGACCTGGCATGTTCAAGAGACCATGGTGCAGAAATCTCGGCTCATGCGAGCTGTCACCAGCGGTCTTAGTACTGGTGGCAGCTTAGCTCTCGCTTTTAAGCTGCTCAATTGGGCAGAGAAGGCGGATTACCTTTCGTCGCTCGTTCACCCTCTTGGCCATTGGAGGTTTGACTGCCCCTCCTTTGTCTTGGGGCTCCTGTGCGGGATTGCACTTTTCCTCTTCATCGAGGCCTGGGTGACGCTCCGGTGGGCTGTGGTTTCCTGGCTTGAGCGGCCAGTGGATCGACTGGTTTCTGCCCCTCGAGGTTGCAGAAAGCCCCTCTACAAACTTTGTTGATGAGCAGACCGTCCGCCTCTCTCCAACTTGAGGTCGCGGACTTGCGAGAAGAGATTGGGGATTTGCGAGCCGAGCTGGCTCAACTGAGGCGTGAGGTACGTGAACTCCGCCGAGAATACCGAGCGGACTCCAGAGCATCTGGTGACTCGAGACTTGAGTCGCACGCTGGCAGCCGCACGGGCTACGGATCTCCTACTCCCTCTTCCACAACTCGTGGTGGGCGGCAGTCTCCTGACCCTGAAAGGGACTACTCCGTGGTGGATTCGGCACCGGCGGTTTCAGGCTCAGCTCCTGCCACGCCACTCACCTGGATTGAGCGGGAGAATATCTGTGACAGGATTGGCGAGTTCATTTCCAATTCGCTGCAAGGTCTTCATCGAGGGACCAGTCATCGAGATCAGATCCCTCTTCCCAGTCGTCTTTGGCTGATCGTCAGGGACTACCAGGGTCAGATCTATACCCCGGTGAAGGTCGTCAAGAGTTGGACGAGCTGCAAGGCATTGGTGAAACGTCCTGGAGGGGGCGAGTGTGGGGATAGCATCTTCGTGGGATTGCCTTCAGAACGCGAGGCGCGGCGTGTAGTTTACACTGCTGGCCTTGAGTGGCCCCAGGTGATCGAGCAATGAGTGTCTTCCGACAGCCTCCTTGGCTCTCGGATAGACCGCCTCTGGTATTCGCTGGGGGCTCAGTTTTGAGCGATTACCCCGTGTGCCTCTGGGTTCTTGATCCAGAGGAGGGTGGCACTACGAGTTTGCAGGTAATTCAGATTTGCTATTTGGAAGGAAAAGTTTTGGTGGCTGTTCCGTTTGCGGTCTGGCACAAAGCTGTCAACAGGCGCATCCTACCACCTTCATCATTGACGAGACCTACGTTGATCGAGGTTCAAGCAGCGTCAGCAGACGACCGAAGTGTCGCTGAGGGCGATTTTTATTTAAAACTATGGGTTGGCTTTCTTCGGGACACCTATGCGGATCAGCTGGAGATTTTCGAGGAGTGCGATTGTGAGTTCTTTTTCGATGAGGAGCTCCAGACGCGGCTTCCCCTTGCTCACGCGCTGGTGGAGATCTCTCAGGAGCACTTCGCCTTCTTCTCAGCAGATGGCACGGATGGGGCCCCTTTGACGGCTTCTGAGCAGATGGCAGCCGGCTTAGAGGACGAAGAAGAACTGGCGGATGCTGGTTCCCCTACTGCAAAGCGGCTTCAGCGGTTGGAGGAGACCATGGTTGACATCTCCTCTCAGCTAAAGCAGATGGTGAAGCCCAAAGCTTCAGCCGCCGGCCCAAAACGCAAAGCCAAAGCGAAAGCTTCTGCTCCGTTGAAGGCGAGGGAAAAAGCTGCTGGTGGGACTACAAGCCCGGGAGACCTTCGTGCTCAGTTCCCTCTTTTGGATGGGGGCGTGGCGCAAGCGGCGCTACAAGCAGGCATTCCGAGGTCGAGCTTGGAGCAGATGCAGCACTTGATGATGCGAGGAAAACCTGGGGCCCAGATGAAGGACCTCAACTCCAAGGTCCAGCCGGATCCTTTGTCTGAAGACGAGCCAACTGCTGGGGAGGATATGCCGGACCCCGACGCTGCTGGATTGGCAGAGCCTCGGGACCCAGTGGCATCGACCCTCGACAAGCTGGCGGCGATTGTGGAGATCCTGACAGAGGACAGGAAGAAGAAACAGGCGGCTTCGAGGCTGGACGCCGCCTTGGATGGCACCTACGCCTCGTCCAGCGATGCTCCCCTCACCGGGGCTGGCAAGAAAGCGGCCGCGGCTAGAAGGGCCTTGATGGCCGCCTACGATGATCAGCCTCACGAGATCTCCAACTTGATCGAGCGCCAGATGTTCGAAGATCTGAACTGCCTGACTTTGGGGCCGGGCATGGCAGCAAAGGGACTGAATGCGAGGGCTTGGGTGGAGTTCCGCTCAAAGGTGGGCAACTATAGGACCAGTGTTTACTCATCATGGAGTGTTGCAGGAATATTGGACAGCTTGATTTCTGGCAATGTGGCAAAGGCGAGGGCGAGGGCATGTGTTTTGCTGCTCATGCTGGATCAGGCCAGCATTGACAAAGGAAGCTGGACGCTAGCAGGTGAGCTGGCATTAGAACCGCCCCCACCGTTCTCTTCCTTTTCCCAGCATCAAGCTCCTGCTATTCATGATGGCGAAAGCCCCTTTTCAAAGTTGCTCGATCCACGCTGGGCGGAGCTTGCCATGACTCACCTCAAAGACACCGAGGATTACCTCAGCAAGAGACGAGCACTGGGTCGCCCCGGCACTGTGAAGCCGAAGGACGGCATGGGAGAAGAGGGCGCCGAAGGCGAAACCCGGAGAAGAGCCAAACCAAAGCCAAAGCCGAAGGCATCTGCCCTCGCCAGCGGCGAGAGCTGAATTTGCATGAACGGGAGGTGGGACGCTCCGATGATGGGCATCTAGTACACTGCCCTTGGTTCCGGAGCTTCTACCATAAGGGCCCTGGCCCTGTCTAATTCACTGCCAAGGTGGCTGCTAAGAACAACATTGCGGCCTCCAAGGTTTTTTTGCTTTCCATCCTCGGTATGCCCAAGGACCGTATTGGTTCTACGTTGACCTCAAGCTCTACCTGGCCTACGCCTGTTCCTTACCCTGAAGTCTCCTCCGCCGGGGGAGTTTTGGATGGGCTTTCTCATTGAAAGCAGCTGGTTTCGCTTCAGGTGGTGGTGCTCAGCTGGCTTGCTTTGGGTTGTCCGGAAGCAGTACTGATATCTCTGCGGCTGGGAGCATCATTGACTTCACGGCAGTGGTCAGCAGTTAGAAATTTGGAGCACCTTGGGGTTGATGGCAGCATTCTTGAATTTGATTATGCCGTCGACATGGGTTGAGCCGCGATCAAGCTAGAGGGGTTCTAAGGGAGCCTTGCTACCATGTCGACGGCGATTTATTCTTTGCATGTTTCTTCGCCTTGCTATGGCTCCGCAGGGCTTTGTGCTTTCTTGATGGAGTTTGTGGTGAAGGTGTCATGAAGTGCGAGTGGCCGTGGGGCGCTCTCCGTGTGTTGCGGAGCCCAATGCGAAGCCGCTGGTGGCTGATCGCTTGTCCTTTTCTTTGCGCCCCACTTGTGACCTCTTGCCCCTTTTCGACGACAGCACCTCTGAGCTCTACAAGCATCCTTTGTCGAAGGGCCGCGATCGCGATAGCCTTCCAGTCCCTCCGCCGGTTCAAGTTTGTGCATCACCCAACGAGAAGTTTAACCTTTTCAAGAAGGTGGCTGTGTCTGGATGGCTGAAGCCTGTCCCTGAGGGCAGCTCTTTGAGCAACTACAGACATGGCCTTTTTGCGGTGCCAAAACATGGGCTGAGGGATCGAATGGTCTTGGACAGCTGGCCCGCCAACCTTGCCGACCCTAGGCAGACTAAGTGGTGAAAGTCGATGGCTAGTGCAGCCTCTTTGAGGGGCTTGTACATTTCGCTGGAGGAAGTCATGGTTTTTGGTGGTGAAGATCTGAAGGATTATTTTTACCGGGTTGGGTCAATGGTGAGCATGTCTGCAGGAACGTGCTCTGTGGTGATCTTTCGCTGAAAGAGGCCGGTATGTGATTGGCTGTGGTGTTTCCGGCCTTCTGACAGGGTAGCAATTGGCCTATCCCTCCTGGCAATGGGCGACACCTGTGCAGTTGAGTATGCTCAACGCTCTCATATCGGTTTGATGCTGCACACGGATGTTGCCGCCGTTTCAGTGATGTTTTCCCTTCATGACGCAATCCCGAGGCTTGCTTCACGTTGGGATCATCGTGGACGATTTGGCGCTTTTGGGAAGGGTCTTGCTAACTGACTATGAAACTGGCTTGTGAAAAGGGTCTCGATATGACAGCGGGGAAGACACCGCCGTGCACAGGCGGCCTATGCTCACCCTGGCCTGGAAAATAATCACAAGAAAGCTTTTGAAGGCGAGGTTTGCTCTAGTTTTTGGGGCGTTCATCTCGATGGGAGAAAGGAGCTGATGCGTCCAAATCAGATGAGGCTGTGGCCTTCCAATGTCATCAGTTTTCGAGTCTGCGCCCTGGGACTTCGCACCATTTCTTCGCTTGAAACTTGAAAGGTTGGCTGGTATGTGGGCGCCTTTGTTGCAGGTATGAATGCGCTTGTTAGCGCCATGGACTTGCTCTTGGAGCCGGTTTCACTGCAGCTCCCTTCCAACATGATCATTCGGCTTTCGCGGGGGGGTCATCCCTGAGATCATGTAGATTGCAAATTTGGGTACATGGGCTGTTGTCAAATTGCGAGCCGAATTCAGTGACTGGGTGATTGCTACCGATGCTAGCTCTTGCACTATGGCTGGAATTGGAGCACCCATTGATTCAGCGATCACAATGGTGCTCAGGGCACATTGCTTGCGGAAAGGGGTGTGGGCAAAGTTACTCGCCCCCTGCAAAGCCTTGTTGCGTGTGCATGGGCTCTTGGCCCCTGAAGATATAGTTCCTGATGCCACTTTTGGTCGCACCTCTTGTGAGACCTAGTGGCGAGAGCCTTACCCTAAAAGGAGTCATGGAGAAGAAGAATTAGGAGGCGACAGCACAACAATGGCAGCGAATCCGAGAGCTATGTGATTGAGGAGAAGCGTATGTGCCAACCCACCTGCAGCAAGAGGGTCCTTTATTGGGCTGGACTCTCAGGTGTTATGGGGAGCAGTTGTGGAGAGCCGATGGACTTACGAGAGATACGGTTCCCCTTCCACCTGATTGTCGCTGCCTTTTGGTGGGACCAGTTGTGTGCGGGAGACCACTCCGTGTTTGATGCTGGCATGATAGCTGTTGGCGCGACCAACCATGCAGATGACATTCCATATGATGATGTTGTAGGGTCTGCTGAGCTTGACCTTGCCCCGAATCGGGCTGTCAATGCTCGGGTCTTTCTCTCCGAGCGCAACATGGGCAAGGCGCTTATTTTTGCGCCTGCCGATGGTTGGGGTGATAGTGGAGTTGGACATAAGCAGCCTTTCAGCCCGCTGGTTCCAGTAGGAAATCAAATCTGCGCTGAGGCCGTATGCTGACTGGGGTCTCTCCCTATAGATTAGTTTGCTTCTACGAGAGCTTCAATGGCTTTACTCAACCTGGGAGTCTGGATCTGTTTAGCGGCAGATATGGCGTGGCTAAGAACACAGTACGTGCTGGGTTCCCTTGGGTGTTGATTTATGAGTGGAACCTTTCTGCCTCGTAGGAGCAAGTTACTTCCAGGGGATATTCCTGGCATGCGGCTCAGTATGCGGCAGAAAGACAGAGATGGCAATTCACATGCTGTTTTGACTGACCTTGTTTTGCTGTGCGAAGCATATGGCGTTGGGTACGTTGTGAAGAACCCTGATACGTCATGGTTATGGAGGCAGCAGAGATGGCCGAAGTTTCGCTCTTCAAGGGGCCTCTGTCGGCTGATGGGGTCACCTTGTGCCAGCATGCTGACTGGAGCAGGACTGAGAAGCTCAACGTGGCTGATGGTTCGAAGACAGGCAATTCACGGGTGGGCGAGACAAAGAACCCTAGGCCTAAATCTAGGGCCTCTGCGCCCGTCCTGGGTCGCGCTTCGACTATGAGCTGCTCGCTGCCTATACCCTTGTCTTTTAAATGAAGCAGTTGTAGCTCTTTGAAGCTTGGTGCCCCCACCGTATTGATGCAGGAGATCTTCATTCAATTTTTGCAGCGTACCCTTGTTTCGGGGAAGGCATTAGTTGGCTAGGCAGAAGATCTCTACAAATCCAGGGGTGTGCTTGGTAATCTGCGACACTTTATTTTAGCCCGTCAGAGTGGATTCCTGGCTCGAGAGTTTTCATGTGGCAGCATTGGGAGATGGTTGAGAGATGGGAGGCCTCAGCTCCTGTCATACACAGAACCCCGGTTCCAGAGCGCCTTCTGCAGGGACTATGTGTTCTAGCGTGGGGGCAACGTTGATATGCATGGGTTGGTGCTACTTTGCTTTCTTTTACAGCGCGGGTCGTCTGGGAGAGATCTTACGCTGCAGCCGTGAGGATTTAGTTTTGCCAGAAGGTGTCGTTGTTGTTGTTGTTGTTGTTGTTGTTGTTGTTGTTGTTGTTGTTGTTGTTGTAAGCGGACGTCAACCTGCTCCTCACCGAAGTGAAGTAGTTAAGACGCCATAGTATGCCATCTGCGAGAATCAAGTTCCCATACTTCTCCAAGCAAAACTCAAAGGAAGCGAAACCTGCCTGAAAAAAAAAGTAAACACAGTGCGCCAGCTAGCATTCCGCAAGGAATGTTTGTTGATCAAGTACGACTTGCCAAAAAGGTAAAGTCCGTAGCCTCTGCAGACGCCAAACTGCTGCAGCCCAAGCCACGGCTCGCTGATGTCGCTGCACAGCCGCAGCGATCATGGAGCGTGAGTCACGCAACACCTCACCTGCCTGAGCATCGGCTGTCGCATTGAGAACGCGGCAGAGATGAACATCAATCCAACCATCTGGTGGTGTCCAGTCAGGCACCTTGTTGTGAGAAGGGATCCAAGTGCAAACAGTGCCCTGAATCAATAAGCCGCTGATCCGCTGCCAGAAAAGCGGCAAGTCACCCTCCCAACGGCCAGTGCTAATGCCTCGCTGAAGCCGCCGCACCAAAGCCTGATTGTCAATCAAGAGCATCACCGGTCTGTTAGCTGCAGAAGAGGCTAAACAAGCTTGCAGAAGAGCAGCACGCTCACCTGCAGCAGGTGTTTGCTCAAAACCAGTCACGGCACCTTGAACAGTGGTGCCTGAAAGTGTCGAAACCGCCCAGCTAGCTCTTTGCCATCGATCACAGGAAGTAGCTATGATACAACTGCCGTCCAAGCCCAAGGTGGGTCGCTGAAGAGGATCGAATTGCTGAATAAAAGTAACCAAAGCAGGATCTGCAACCATGTTGGAAAAAGGCAACACAGGAGGAGCATCCACAAGTGGAACCAGCAAACGACGTTCAGTAGCGCTCCTGAACTCACCATCCCATGGCTGCGCTTGGCAGTGAAAAGTGAGATGTTCTCGATCAGGAGACCGCAATCCACATTCACAACTCAAAGCAGAACCAAAGCGCTCTGTGACCCTGCCATCCACTGCAGCACCAGTCAAAACCCTGCGACTGTAGTAATCCATGCCTAAAGCTGCATTTGCCTGAAAAAGGAAAACCGGCTCCTTGCCGTTTGGCCATCGACCATCCGTTTTGGTGTCTTTAGTCCACAAACCAACGAGCCATGAATGGATAGCGGCTTTTTGCAAGCTTTTCAAAGACATCCACCCAGGTTTCAAAATCCCAGCAGGCGTGTGCCACAGGCCATCGTCAAGTCGCCATTTCCAATCTTTGAGCACTGCTTTCCAGCGAGGAGCAGGCGAGGTAGCTGCAGGCAACCCTTGGGCACGGCGGCATTGCCGATTCCATTCCGCCCGGGCGGCGGTGAACTGGAGCGCAAACATCGGATGTAGTCTTGCAGAACCCAAAGAATTCCAAAAGAGCAGCCGGCTCCTACCTGGAGGAGCCCTTCGACCCCAAAGTGCAGTTTCGATCATAGATGTCCATGTTCGAATGGTTCTTGCACTGAAGTGATGAAAAGCACCGGACCAAGCAAATAAAGATATCACCAACTTATGCACCAATGCAATGCGAGTGCCTAAGTGCTGTGCTGCCAAACGAATTTTGAGACACCGTCGCTGAATGTTGTCACTGACAATATCCGCATCAACACAAGAACTGGGGCGTGACAAATTGTATTGAATGCCAAGCAGTGTGAAAGTATCCGCAGGTACACCTACTAAATCTTTCTTCTTGCGCACCTTGGCAACCAGATGCGGTTTGGTGGCGAAGCTAGCCAATTTGTCAGGGTGAAGTTCGAAGCCGAGAATAGCATCGGCTTGCGCTCCCGCAGTCATGGCGTTGATGACCACTTCAAAACTTTGACAACCTTGTTTCCACATGGTGCGATCGTCCAAATAAATAGCCAAAGAAATCCTTGGTTCCTGCCGTTTGACAAACCTCACCCAAACTGTCATCAAAGCGTTCAGTAGCGCAGGGCTGGCTGGACAGCCTTGCAACAAACCCCGTTGAGCAATAACCGGATGAGGGTGATAAGAACCTTGCCAAGCAAACCAACGACGCTGTTCACTGTAAAAATCAGCGAGTAAATCACAAATTGATGAGGGAGCACCGAACCATCGCCACACTTTAATGGCTGTCTGAGGGCAAACTGAATCAAAACACTTGCGAACATCAGCTTTGCACCCGACCAAATCGACACGAGACTGCTTTGCCGCGCTGACAGCTTCGTAGAAACGTTCATGGACTTCCATGATGCCCTTGCCTGGTAGACCACCAAAAAGTTCGGGCGAAGCCCATTCCGCAATCCAAGGCTGTAATTTTTTCAGAGTGGCACTCATGCAAATACGCCACAGGACAGTGACAATGGCTAAAGGGCGCATGCCACCAGTAGCTTTTGGTAACAAAGCAATTCTAACATCTTTCCACATCGTAGGAACACAGCCATGTCGCAAGCAAGCATCCCAAAGAGCACCGACCTGATCCCAAAAAGCAATGGGAAGATTGCACAAATGGAGAGCTGTCCAGGCATCCATGCCCGGAGCCTTGTCCTTCGCTTTGAGCGCAATCCGAACCAATTCAGAACCACTAACCTGAATACAGTCATCCGGCAATGGATCGCTTGCAGAGCCAATCTGAGAGTACAACTGGTCCCCCAGATTCAAATTCGGAAGCGACCCTGGATTCCAATACCTCTCCCAATCCAATGCTGCGCACTTGGCCCTATCTGCAGGTAGAATGGGGCCATCAAAACTTGCAGTAGGACTGGCGGGCGGCACCTGTTTGACCCACCTGCCTAGTTTGGTGGCATTTTCCTGCACGCTGTCCTTCCACGCCTCCAAGCGTAACTTGGACGCTGCTGTAGCTTCTGCATTTGCCAATTCTAGCACTGCACTAACCAACCTGGGGTCATCCAAAGAGAAAAAAGCCAAAGAATGATGTAAATGAGGGCCATCACGAACCAACTTCTTCTCCAACTCTGGCAACGGGGCCTTTTGGTACTCCACCACTCTTCGTGCGAAGCGTCTGAGCTTGCGCTCTTTCACTGTTTGCAAAGAAGGCGCTTTTGAAGACGGAGGACTGGCAATTTGCTGCGGGCCCTGGCGCATAGCACGACCAGTTTTGCCACGTGCGAGAAGAAGAGATTCTGCGCAGTTGCTAAGTAAGGTCCAAGCAGAGTCCACGTTGCCTGTACTCAATGCATTTCCAAAATCGTCACATACTTCTTCCCAAGCACTTAGCCAAGAAGCTTCAGCGACCTTTTCAGAATGCAAAGGGGCACCAACTGGGAGAGTCCACGGTGTGGATAATGAACCAGGCACATGCAAGTTGTAAACCACCGCGTCATGGTCAGCCACGCCAAGATGTTGCTCCCTACCAGTAATAATTACCCGAGGAGTGCACAAGCCATAGTCAATGACCACACCTGTATAAACACCTGCAGCAGTTCGATGTGTACCACCTAAAACACGATCTCCGCAAACCAGCTCATCACAGGACCGCCACTGTCCAGTAGCCAAAACGTTAGAAATTGGCCAACAATGAATTTCCAAATTGAAGTCACCCATGATCACTGTATCTTCACCACAAGCAGCAACAAACTCGAACAGCGCACCCAGCGCACGGCTGGCAGCTGTGCGATCTGAAGCATGTAAGTAAACATTGATGAGAATCAACGGCCTTTGCTGAGGTCTATAGAGTTTGACGGCCATGGATCTTTCCACAGACACCATGTCGACAGGAAGGGCCAAGGCCTCAGCAGGCCACTTTGTTAGAACCAATGTACCACCTTCCACTACATTTTTCGAATTTCTTCCTTGAGGGCCAGGAAAAAGTTGCCACCCGCGTGCCTTGACGGCACGAGTCACAGCATTCCAGCTGTGATTGTTAACTCTAGTTTCTTGAAGACACAGAACATGTAAATTCTGGAGCTGAGCAAAGTCAAGCACACCACCCAAGCGGCCTCCCAAGGACCGTACATTCATAGTCCCCAACCGCATAGTGCTGTCAGAGCCCGTCATGGGTTCTGATCCACAGCGCCATCCTGCTGCAATCCCAAAATGTCCAAAGCTCGCGAAGCAGCTCGCTGTCTGGCACTTGGAGCCTGAGCCGCAAGAGGCACCAAAATATCCCTCTGGCCCTTTCGAAACTTAGTCCAAACCATTTTACGAGGACACTGACTTCCTGTAAGCCGTCTGATGTTGTTGACACAACGCTTGCAATGCACACAAGCAAAACGCACCGTAAAATTGGCAGGCCACACAATGGCCTCAATCTGATGCGTGCTGTCTGCTGCAGTATCAGTGGTGCGAAATGCTCCAGAGTCGATGATTTCCAAAACTGTGCGGGCACCCTTCTTGAGGTCATCGCTGATGTCTGCATTTTTGAGGCACGCACGCAATCTTTCCACCAACTGCTTTCGTTTGGGCCCTTTGCTGGAAGCATACTGTTCACAAGCAATCTTTGCCAAACGCTTCGCTGTCAAAGCCATACTGCCACAAGTTTTGCAAATGACGTAAGACATTCCAACTCTTTTCTGTTTGCCATTTCCTGTGGCTGGAATGGTAACGAAAGTGGGGTCATGTGCTCCAGCATCGCCACGCTTGAAGCCAAGCAACCTTCGAGCCACTGCAGCTGCACGCACCTGGCGCGTGGCTTTGCTAGCATTCTCCCGTCTGAAGCTGCTGTCCTTGTGGAAGAGCTTGGCATCCGCCTGAGGATGTTTGTCTTCCCTATGCTTGCGGATGACGCTGTACACTTGGCCAGGTTTGAGGTTGTGATCAGCGGACAAGCCAAGTTTGCAAACAGGACACTTCCAGCTATAGACTCCTCCCTTCTTGACCGCAGACAGCGCAGGCAACGTGTTTTTGAAGCCGATTTTCAACTGTTCCTTCTCATCGGGATGCCAAGCATTGATATGAGCTCTCTTCTTGTCAACCCATCCTTTGCACACCCCAGTGGAAAAGTCACACAAAGGGCATGTCCACTCAGTACGCTTAGTGCGTCTGGACGAAGCACTGGCTGCGTCTTGTCCTTCACTGGCTGCACGTGGCGTGCACGGACCCCGACCCGAAGTAGCAGCCGCAGGGGAAGAAGAATTCTTGCGCTGCTCTGACAAAGTAGAGGCGGGCGCGGGGCTAGCACACCTTCCACGTTTATTGTTGCTATGAACCAGTGACGGCAAAGCTGACAATCTGGTGGCACCAACTGAAGTAGCGCCACATTCCGATCCTCCACCTCTGTTGCCCTGCATTGGACCATTTGCGGCCTGAGTCAAAACTTCAGGAGGGAAAGCACCTTCAAGTCGTTCATAGTGCTTTGAACGAAACCACAAAGCGATGTGAGCACCACCCTTGCCACGACCATTGTAAATCTCCGGAACCCCACGAGGCTGGAAGACAATGATCGGGCGATCGTAGTGCACAGCCGCAGCAGAAACTTCAAGAGCACTGCCCCAAGCACCAATCTTTGAGAGCATGGTGAGATAGCTCTCCCATGATTCGCAAGCATTCTCCGCCTCTGTTGGCTCCTTGCCGTCCCACCAGGGCTTGTAACGACCCTGGTGCTTGGTCAGGTGGGTGACAACGCTTGCACGCACATTCCTGGCTGTTTTTCCGCCCAAACTTTGAGCAAGGGCTTCAAAAAGACAGTTGCCGTCAGCAGGGATGCTTTTCACCTTCATATTGTGAGGGGGCTTGGGTTCCCCCGCAACACGCTTGGCCGGAGGACTCTTTTCAGGAGTACTGACAGCTCTTTTTGCCCCAGCGGGTTCTCCAGCATTGTCCATCTTTGCGTCCGACTTGTCCTCGTCCAAATTCTCAGCAGGAACCTTCTCAGCCCCTGCAATAGTCACTGGCTTTTTGACTGGCGTTCCCATGTAGAAAGATTTGCGAGGAGCAGGCGTGGCAATCGCCTGCCATGCATGGCTCTGGTTATAACTGACCCTTCCATTGCTAGCCAGTTTCATGGTATGTGTTCTCTGCCGTCTTTGTCTTGGAGCTTCAACAGCTACAATGACTTTTTCGCCAGCCTGAATTTCAATGAAATCCATATCCTTTTGAGCATTGGCCTGCACCCACCATTCCACTTGTTTGCCCACAGTTTTCCGGGACAACACCTTGAGTTCAGTCAGGCCAGCACGTGTAAGTTCCTGAGTCAAGGTACTAGCCGCCCAATCTCGCGGAACACCAGTGACGCGCCAAGCTCTGGCCTTAGGAGGAGGCTCGGCGCTCCTGGGCTTACGTACTCCCAGTCCATTCCATCCCCGGGCAATGCCCAGGTCACCAGCCATGGACTGAACCTTCTGCAAGTAGCTGGGCCCATCAAGTTCCGAACTTTTCTTGACCCACTCAACATCGCAAGATTCAATTACGGAGTTGTTCCATTGCAAAGGCTCCACAAACCAGGTACTTTTGCCTGAGCAGCCTAGAAGAGCTTTGGCAGCACTTCGCTCAATGCGTAAAAGGCCAGTGATCACTGGCTTGCCTCCGCCTTTCATGCTTTCTTTCTGAAACGCCCACATATCAAAGACTTTGTCCGCAACATGCTCTGGAACATGCCGATGCAACCAAGCCTGCGCGTTTGCCTTTGGCTTGGCCTGGATGCTCTGCCACTCGTTGTTTTGCAAATATTTTGCATCAACACTTAATCTCACTACAACAGTTTCAGGCTGCACTGCAGGAGCCGCTGACACAACGGCAGCTCTCTTGAGTGATGGCCCTTGGCCTTGAAGTGGGATCACAAACGCCTGCCTGGGCTGCACCTTGCCCGAGATCTTTCCTGGCACCATCCGCAAAGGTCGATCCTCCTCAGTCTGCTTGGCCTCTTTCGGCGCTAGCATCACAGCTGTGATGTTGAGCTCTCTTTTGATATCAGGGGAATCGCCTTTCAGCAAAACCTGCAACTCCTCAAGTTGCTCTTCCGAGTTCACTTGCACTGTAGCTGAAATATTTCCAGGCTTATCCAGTGCGACACAAAAGTCATCAAAGCCCAAAATGGGCCCCGTCCAGTCTGACTGACGCAGGCTCCACACCGGCTTAAACGCAGTGTTGGCTCGAACCATTTCAGCAAAGGTCTTGGGCGTTTTGTGGAGCTGCTGCTCTGTGTGTGGCTGTTTTTGGACGTCCGCCTTTTGCTTAGGATGTGGTTTCGAAGTATTCTGCGGAGGCTGAGTAGGAGGAGAAGAAGGGTAAAAACCACCCCCTTGGCCGTGATCCCCCAGACCACCATCACCGCCCTGTTTATTTTTGTTCTTGTTCTTAATCTTCTTGGGTTTGGCACACCCGCCATGGCCCATCATAGCACTGAGCTGTTGAAGCAAATTCCCACCGCCACCCCCGAGTCCCAACAATTGGAAAAGCTGAGAGAGTAGTTTGAGAATCTCACCTGCTTGTTGCAAATTGAAGCCATTTGCTTGGTTATTGCTTTGTTTCTGTTTCCTTTTGCGAGCTGTTGCTCTGCTTCCTGCACCATTGCCATGCATGGCATGCATCAATGCGTTCCGCTCTTTTGAAGACACAGCCCAAATCTTCTGAAGCAAATCGAAACTTGCAAGCACCACATCTGAACAATTCGTTTCTAAGCACTGCCAAGGCCCATCAGCAATGCATAGACCCGCAGCCACCGCGCCAGAAGGTGTCGTTGAGCTAGTGCAGTTTTCCTTTGGCTGTGTTTTTATGCAAGAGCGAAATGCGTCAGCCAGCAAAAGTGCAGCACATGAGGGTGACTGGTAGGGTCGCATATTTGCTCTTGGGCAAGACCTTCAAGAACCTTGAGTATGACCTGCCGCTTTTTGGATCAACTGCACACCAGCATAGAAAATGATGGGATCGCATGCACCAACGACAACTTGGCACTTCCAATTCCTTGCCTATCACTTCGCGGTTTGAGGAGAGGCGCTGCAGTTTATTACCACATGCACAGGAAACTGATTCATGAATTGCTTTGGCTTCTTTGTGTACGTAGCCAAACTACTTGGGAGTGCTACCTCCAAGAAGTTGCAGCCCTCGATACCTTTGCCCAGCTCTCTCAACATTCTCGTGACCTTGTGCTCTTTTCCGCTTCCTGCTTTGCATTTTTGATTGCTGGTGACTGTCGCTAGCGGGGCAAAGACAAACGTACTTCGTGACACAGGTCCACTCTCACCCGCGGGACCGTTCTCCCTAGTGACGGTGTGGTTGCAGCTACTTCCCTGTGGAGTTCTATGTCCTTGCAGGCTCCTACATGCTCCATCGGCAACTTCTTGGCCGCTTACGTCATGGAGCAGCTTCTGCAGTTGGATGTGGCGAACCGGAAGCTGACATGCAGCTGCACCCCTCGCACATATTAGGGCGATGGAAAAAAGAGTGACAGAGCCAGCATCTTGCAGTGCACTGTTTGGGCGATTTTACATGACCTGGCATGTTCAAGAGACCGTGGTGCAGAAATCTCGGCCCACGGCCACCCACCCCGGCCAAGCCGCCGACAGTGTCCTGTTGGTGTGGTTGCAGCTACTTCCCTGTGGAGTTCTATGTCCTTGCAGGCTCCTACATGCTCCATCGGCAACTTCTTGGCCGCTTACGTCATGGAGCAGCTTCTGCAGTTGGATGTGGCGAACCGGAAGCTGACATGCAGCTGCGCCCCTCGCACATATTAGGGCGATGGAAAAAAGAGTGACAGAGCCAGCATCTTGCAGTGCACTGTTTGGGCGATTTTACATATATATATATAGATATAATATTGTATATAGTACATTTGAACATCCAGTGTTGCTATTTGGACATAGCTTGCTTTCGAAGGACTGCAAAGTGGTTGTGGTTCTTTTCCTTGACCGCGTGGGCCGTGTTTACTGCGTTGGTTCTTTTGGAGGTGCTGCCCAATTTGTGTCTCCGTAGCTTCCTTTCAAGACGGACCTGCACTGCAGCTGCATTCTGCGGTACCACTCACCTTGACATGAAACCCTGGCCAGCCTGATCAACAGCCAAATCTCATGTTGCGCAAGAGCAAGTCTTTGATAAACCATCGATATTAAACCTGTGTATTGTTCCAGACTGCACTGAACAGCGCAAAGGACTCGCTGCCTCATGTCGGTCTCTGTGGATATTCCTGGACATGGTCACTTTGATATCAAACTGACTGCTTCGAGCACCGCTGCTGACATTATTTTACTGCTACGTGAGCGTTTGCCAGACAGCCCATGGCATGGGAACAAGTTGCTGTCAAGTGGGGTCTGCCAGCTACAGTGCGATGACATTGTGGAGGCAACCCGCCACAGCACTTTAGTCTTGACAAACTACTCAGAGATCACCAACCAGGAGAGAAACCTGCAGCTTTGTTTCTTTTTTCAATAGGTAATGCAGACCATGCCAGGTCCTCCGCAGCCAGTAGCAAATCACGATTAGAAACTAAATGCCAACAAGTACCCATTGCAACAAGTGCAGCAGTGTGATGAACCGATTCAATTTTGAACTGGTGGCTTGTGAGATCTACTTGATAGTGGGGGAACAGTCGGCCACTGAACAGGCGCCTTTGTGCATTGAGACCATGTGAAACAAAGGCAATATAACCAATAGGATCAAATAGAATAAAGAGAAACCGTATTTAAAAGTCAATCTTTTGAAATTCAGAGATTGCAGGCCCATGATTCCCATGATTGAACCTTTTGAGGGTACTGCACAATGCTTTTTGAATTCCATTCCAATTTCATTTGCTGCATTTGTTGGTCGCCCCACACACGTCGAAGGAGACTTTCTGCATCAAAGATACTGCAGAGCGAGGGATCACGCGCGAGCAATTGGCAAAGATCGTTGTTTTCATCTCCAAGATGGCTGACAGATGGTGCGAGACTTTCGGAGAACAGCGTGGGACAAGGCTGCAGTTTGAGACCTTCAACTTGTATCATGCGAATCATTGGATCATCAAACCAGCCACCGAAGCCTGGATCTGTTGATGATGTGACAACATTTTCCAATTGGAGGAATTCTTGTTTTTCTTTTTTTATTGCCCCCATTATGCAGAATCCCAGGACGGCTATGCGAAAAAGGGCTGCAGCATGGTAGAGCTCATGGCGATTCAAGTTCAGAGACCTCATTGGTTTGTGTCACATGCTTGGATCGAGCCTTGCCTGATAGGCAAACTCTCAAGCTTGTTTGAGACCGTGCTATTGCATTGTCTGTCGGCAACAAGTTACTTTTTCCGCTAATAACTCACATTCCCCTAGAAGCCTTGGTTGAGTTTTGGACTTGTTCATTTCGGACCCTCAACTAGACGACGGTTGGCCCGAGAGCGAAAAAGATGTGTTTCAAGCAGCTCTGAGTATGGTAGTCGTAAAAGATAGTCGGTGAATAGTTGGTGAATTTTATTGGTGAATTTTATATGAGCTATGGAAAGACATGATGTAAAAAAGTAAGATTGATCAAGAAGAGAATATTTGGTAAAGGGCATCAGATGACATGTGTCTTGCAACCACAGAGAGAAAGAGGGGGAAGAGATAAAGAGAGAGAGAGAGAGGTCAGACGCATTTCCACACAAAGACCTTTGAGATACAAAATTGAACGGTGCAGTGATTCCCGAATTATTTATTTTTTTTGTCCACTGCTCATAATTTGAATGAAAACAACACATATATGTTTTTCGTGCTATACATCACATAGATCCACTGCATCGTAAACAAACACTGCAATTCTCGAGATCTCATGGACTGACCCTACAGAAACCTCGAGAAGTGCAAGAAATGTTACAGATACCCGTTTGCCAATCCTCACTTGTTTCACGAACATTCAGCGTACATATAAGAATATGGATGTTCACTCTGTGCACAATGCATCTTGTCTCTACGTCCACGTCTGAGCCCAGGAAAGAAGTACTTGGTAACCTCTACAACTCCTTTACACAGAAACACTTTTACACACAGACGCTTTTACACACAGACGCTTTTACACACAGACGCTTTTACACACAAAAGCTTTTACACAGAGACGGTTTTACACACAGACGCTTCTACACGCAGATACGTTTTACACACGCACACACGCTTTCACACACAAACGCTTTTACACACAGACGCGTTGACACACAAACGCTTTTACACAGGACGCTTTTACACGCAGATGCTTTTTACACACGCACACACGCTTTCAAACACAAACGCTTTTACACACAGACGCTTTTACACACAGACACTTGTACAGAAACGAAAGCATCCATCGCAATTTTTCCTCAGTTTTTGACGTCCAACGTCCATTTCGTGCGAAAGGGTTACAATGGACAAAGTAAAATCGCAATTTTTCCTCAGTTTTTGACGTCCAACGTCCATTTCGTGCGAAAGGGTTACGATTGACCAAGTAAAATCGCAATTTTTCCTCAGTTTTTGACGTCCAACCTCCATTTCGTGTGTAAGGGTTGCGATTGACACCTCAAAGTCGTCAATTTTTCCTCAGTTTTTGACGTCCAACGTCCATTTCGTGCGTAAGGGTTGCGCGGGACACCTCAAAGTCGCAATTTTTCCTCAGTTTTTGACGTCCAACGTCCATTTCGTGCGAAAGGGTCGCGATGGACAAAGTAAAGTCGCAATTTTTCCTCAGTTTTTGACATCCAACGTCCATTTCGTGCGAAAGGGTTGCGCGGGACGCTTCAAAGTCGCAACTTTTCCTCAGTTTTTGGCGTCCAACGTCCATTTCGTGCGAAAGGGTTGCAATGGACAAAGTAAAATCGCAATTTTACCTCAGTTTTTGGCGTCCAACGTCCATTTCGTGCGAAAGGGTTGCGTTTCGCGGCGCTCCGGCGGCACCGCCCCCGCCTTAAGAGAGAATAGAAGAAGAGCGAGAGGAGATCTGCAGATGTGAAGGTGTGAAGATGTAGATCGGCAGATGTGAGAGTGTGAAGATCTAGATCTGCAGGTGTGAGGGTGTGAAGATCTAGATCTGCAGGTGTGAGGGTATGAAGATCTAGATCTGCAGATGTGAGGGTGTGAAGATCTAGATCTGTGAAGGTGTGAAGATCTAGATCGGCAGATGTGAGGGTGTGAAGATGTAGATCTGCAGATGTGAGGGTGTGAAGATCTAGATCTGCAGGGGTGAGGGTGTGAAGATCTAGATCTGCAGGTGTGAGGGTGTGAAGATCTAGATCTGCAGGTGTGAGGGTATGAAGATCTAGATCTGCAGATGTGAAGGAGTGAAGATCTAGATCTGCAGATGTGAAGGAGTGAAGATCTAGATCAGCAGATGTGAAGGAGTGAAGATCTAGATCCGCAGATGTGAAGGAGTGAAGATCTAGATCAGCAGATGTGAAGGAGTGAAGATCTAGTATAACGGCTGCTTTTTTACGAAGAACCCTTCGCAGGCGCTCTCGGGAATAGGATGCTGTATCAAAAAGAAATGAACATCGAGCGTAATGATAGATGAAAGTCAATCTATTGCCTTGAAGCACGTCCAATTTTGTGTTGGGCAGATCTGTGAGGAGCCTGTTTGTAAGTTTCTGGCCTGCTTGGAGCAGCATGCTCTGGTGCGAGAACTCTCAAGCAGTACATTCTATTGGGTCTGTGCATATGCCAACAACCAGCACTGCGTGGAAGAGGATATCAAAAGCAACCCACGCAGCACTTCATTCTACAGAGCTATGCAGATGTCTGAGGGAGTTCTTTTGGTGCTGGATTCAGCTGGAACGCCTTTCGAAAGGATTTGGTGTTGCTTCGAGGAAGCCATTGCCCCAGCCTTAGAAATTCCTAGAAATGCGAGAAAGCATCATAGAACGAGAAACATTTGACATGAACGTGAGTTTTTTTTCCTTCGTGAGTTCTGCTTGAAGGGACACGTTTTGAGTCCAGCTAGCAGCTAGCTTGTTTCAGTGCAAAATGCGAACCACAACCAAACAGCATGATCGCTTGGTTGATTTGCATACATGTGAATGGGGGATAACGAGCAGGAGCAACACCAGGTCATGTTCGTAAAGGCAGGCAATGCTTCAGGAGATAGTGGATCGAAGGAGATGCTGGTGTAGACAATTCCGGTATTTTCACCCTAAAAGCGACCAAGGCGATCGAACATCGAGAGGGCAACTGGTCCAGACGACGTTTACTGCTTGATGTGGGAGCCACTGATGCATATGACAAAGCTGCTCGACACAGAAGGGGTGGCCTGGTGTGGACATTTCCTTTGCGTGGTCTGCTCCAAAGGTTGAGACGATCGCCTTTTACCGTAACCTCCATTTCTGCACCGTGGTGAACCGTTTCACATCACCTTACTGTAAGCCTCCATTTCCACATATCGTTACAAAGAGGTGATAAGTGAAAAGTGATGTTTTGACCCTTCCAAACTTGTTGATCTCTGAGGCTCACGTGCTTACTGATGGACTTGCCGGAGCGGAAAGTCGAATGATTGGCATCATCGGCTTGCACCACAAAGCAGCTCGTGAGCGTCACTTTCCTCTGGACCTTTTAGAAAAGGGCTTGAAGGTAAAGATTGAAGAAACTTGCTGCGGGATTGCAAGAAACTTTTGCTGTTTTGACGTTGTTTGGAGAACCGTTTTATGCATTTGGACGATCGATTGAATGGACAAGGTCCATGGTCCATTGTTCATATTGTTCCATTTGTATTTTATGTATGTCACCTCGCAAAAATGGCTCATTCTAATTCTAAGTTCTCTCTTTTTCCAGAAGGTGAGCGAGCCATAATCATGAGTTTGAATGTTGGACAGCTCAAGGAAGCTCATGCAACGCAGAACATCGACAAGGTTCGTATACTGAACAGCATAGCTCTTTCTCGTCTTGGAACTTGTGACTTTGAGCTTTTGCAGTCGTACCCCGCTGGGGATCCGAATTTCCACCGAGTAGATGAAGCTCTTGCTTCGCACTTCGCTTTATGCAGCTGGTACGGATTTGTCCTTCAAGGAAGATGCACTGAACTCCTGGCCAGGGCTGTGAAAGCAGACGTTGGTAGAAAGATAGTGCAGCTTTCACTGACTGGGTGCCGGAATTTCTCTGACCATGAGCTTGACGTGCTGATCCAAAGCCTACCTGCAGAGTTGCGCGTTTTGCGATTAGATCTGGGATTCTCGGGTCTTGAGACTCTGGACATGTTTACATCGACGGTGCAGTGCTTGAAGTCATTGGTCCAGTTGAAGTTGCGCTTCACAGGTTCCTTGCACTTCCGGACTGCGGCAGGGCTTGGAGTTGCCCTGAGAGAGATGGAGAACCTCATGTTCCTGGAGCTATGGTGCGCTGAGTTGTGAAATTCCAGTCACATTTTTCATCATTTTTCTTCATCTTGAACCAGCAAAATATAGGATTTTCAGCTCATTGTTTGCTGCGCTTTCTTTTTGTTTCCATGGAAAAGATAGTGTTATTTTGATTTTTCTCAGCTGCCACGGTCCAGTGGCTGCAGGTTCATGAACTTGCCATGTTTGGAAGAATTCGGATGCTTCAGTTCAGCTTTGCAGTCTTCGCGAAATCTGGAGAGTATAGTTATTGATCTCAGCGGATGTGGCCAGGTGTCGATTGATGCGAGGATGGAACTTCACCAATCCATCAAGTCACTGAAATGGTTGCGAAGCAGCTTGGACACTTGGGTGAACATTGAAGGTTTGCCAAAGCGAGAATGGTTTGCTCGATTTGCTCCTGTTGATTATGGCAGTGTCATCAAAGGGCGTTGCACCCGGAGCTTCCGTTTCATCTGGCAACGCATGCGACAACTCAGTGCCCGCCAGCTGCCACACGTCAGCTCGGTGTACTTTGAACCAACCAGGTTTGGCAGGTCCAGCGCCACAAGCAGTGACGAATCAGCTGGAGAAGATGCGGAGACAGAGATTCACAGCACTCAACAGGAGATGTTTGATGAAAACAAACCGTTCCCATGCAGCCATCCTTCATGTCATTCGTTTCACTGTTCTGAGAGCGGTTATTGTGAAAGGCACCACTGGGTGGGCCTTGGCAAAAGGATTTGCGTTGCGGTAAATGGTTGGCGCCAGAATGTGGAGCTTAGTGTGCTGATTCTTGCACAAGCAGTGGCAGAGGTAGAGAGCCGATTTTTGTTGGTTCTTCTGGTTCTCAGCCTGTTGCCCGTTGCAAGTTATAGCTTTTCTCAGTCAGCAGGAGTGTCTGGCACGTTGATTTTTCTGATTATTATCTCAATTGCAATTGTCAGCATTGTTTACACCACAGCTCGGCTCAACAGAATGCAAGCACTGTCAAGGAGGCTTGAAGTTGAATCGGAAGCTTTGTATGCAAAGAATTTGCAGGATGACATGTCCAGGCTTTTTGGTGATTGGGGTAGAGACGATATTGCCCAGCCTCAGGTCACAAGCTTGACGGAACACTTCATCGAAGCCAGAAATCATCTTGATGACTTCGACAAGAATCTGTGCCTTCCACTGCGAGAGTTCTTGGAGGAGCAGCCTAGTTCCATATCTCGGCAAGATTTACGGCCCGTACTGATGACACTGCCGATGGCACAAGAGGCTGTCGTGCGAGAAGGTGGATGGGACAAAATCTTAGATCTCTTGTATTGCGATGTAATCTTCGATGATTGGGAAAGAATGCTCAGTGCGTGGTGCTTTCTCAAAACCAGAGCAGAGCATGATGAGTTGAGAGACATCGAGATTGTGCGTACTCGCGATTCTTTTGCTTCAGTCCAAGCTGGTGTCAGATGTGCCGAGATGGTGGTCAAGATCAACCACTATTTAGCCACGATCCGTTTCCGTGAAGCCTCCTTGACAAAGCTGGAGAATCAAGTGGATGATGTGCACCACTTGGCAGAACAGGTGGGACTTCTGGCAGGCAGTTTGCAGATAGATCCTTTGCTTATGTCTGGGCGACCCGCACAGCAATCACGATTGGTGGTTCTTGTTGTTGCTTTGCTTCGGATCAGCTCATTACTTGCAGCAGTGTACCTTGGGGGGCAATACTTCGTGCGGTACAGCCCACCTTTCATCCGTTCCAAGCTTCCGCAATGGATCCGAGATGCCTTCGCGCTCAAGCAGACAGTTGAGCCCAGTGATGGGACATTGGCGGAGGGCATCACGTCTAATTCTGGCAGATGGTTGGAGGAGAGCCTTTCGCAGCTGTTGCCCTCCATTGTTTTCTCTTTGCCGTACCTGGCCTTGATCATCGTCCTCCTGAGCGACCTGCGCCGGTGTCGGTCAGCCAATATCAAGTTGAGACCGTTGAAACCCACCCAGCTGCTCTATGAGGAGTATTTTGGCATTGAAGGCAAGCTCTACGGCTTCAAAGTTGCAATGCTGCAGTTATTCACAGTGATGCTACAGGCCTTTGGAAAGCTCCAAATCATGGGTGGCCTTGTGTCATTTGCATTTCATTCAGCTCCGAAGCATTCAGATGCGTTTGAAGGATGTTTTTGGGCTTTTGCGGGTTTCCTCTGTTTGAACAGCATCTATCCAACCATTTTGTTGGGTTTACCCACTGTGAAGTGGGTGCGCCGTGGCGCTGCGATGATGGATGCAGTCCTTGATATTGCTTACACCAGCACATACCTCATCATCACCTTGCTGGCCATCCACGAACTACAGCTGGGCCAAGCCATTTCAGGAAATTTTGGGGATGAGGCTTCGGTGAACTTCCAAGCAGAATTGGACCCGGCATTTGCATTCCCAGCCAACTTTTTTGGTTTCTTTGCTGTCTACTATTCACTTGCACATGTTTGCACTGTTTGCCGTGCCTTGGAGCGAAGCGATCGATCGACCTACTGGAAGAATTTGCAAAGTTTACCGAACTCTGCTTCCCGGTCGCTGCTGAGCCCATCGAGATTTTCTTGCTCAAAGAGATACCGGATTTGTTCCAAAGCCTTGCATTTTTGCTGCATTGGTTTCGTTTTATGTTGTTTCTGCAATTTTCAATCCATCGTGGTTCCGCAACCTGTTGACACAATTTATCATGTGAGTATCTCGAATCCCCTCAACATATTTGTACAGAGGAGGCGTCTTGTTGTTCTCAGCTTTACTGTACTTGCTGCACCCTTTTGTGCGTCCTAAAGCATACACCACTTCTAAAGTTGTTGCTCCCCAGCATCAACAGCTTTGCAATCTCAGCCAAGGGGGTTCCAGGGCTTTTGAAAGGTTCCACTTCCTATGAGTTTCACAGGTCCAGGATTCCGAGCTGCATTCCAAGTATTTCAGGGTTTCCAGAGTTCCAGGATTCCACAGTTGCAAGGTGCTGTCGGATGGCATAGTTCCAGGAGTCCCAGCAAAGGCACTCGTGAAGTTGAAAAATGGATACCTATATCATACCGATATTTTCAATGTCAATCCCCTTGAGAGTTGGTTTCTGGAATGGCCCCCTCCCTTTCATTCCATCTGGCTTTGATGGATGAACTCGAGTTCTTTGTTTCTCCTTGCAACCACTGCTCAGGTATTCGCCCTGTTTGCTTGTCACGATCATTGCTCTATTGCTTTCAACGCACTTCTACCCGATTCACAAGGATGATTTCGGATGCTTTCCCTGCCGCTGTCTGCAAAAAGAAGATGGTGCAAAACACCTTGCGAGCTGCAACCTTGTAGGCGTTCTTCGCCTCAAAGATGTGAGTTTGAGTGAGCAGGACATCACAAGTGTTGCAGAGGATGCCTTCACCTCTTCATGGGGCTTGCAACGGTTATCGCTCTCTGGGAATCGGTTGTCTGTTTTGCCTAAGAAGCTGTTCGCTCCTTTGGACAATCTGCAACTCTTGGACCTGGGCCGCTTGGGTTTGCAACAGGTGGAGTCAGACACGTTTGCCGGCTTGTCAAACTTGAAAATCTTGTCACTGAGCCAAAACCAATTGAAGGTGTTGCCAGAAGACTTGCTGCGCCCGATGCCAGCCTTGGAGAAATTCTTGCTGGGGGGTAAATCTGATGAGAAGGACGACCGGATCGTTGATGGAAACTGGCTGAGCGTACTTCCGCAAGAGCTTTTGCAGCACTGCCCCCTGCTACAAGTTCTTGATCTCAGCCAAAACTTGTTGACCTCGCTGCCAAATCACATCTTTGATAAGACTCCTTTGCTGCAGGCCCTCGACCTTGGCTCAAACAAGCTGACTGAATTGCCAGGCAAAATCTTTTCAGGGCTCAACAGACTCCAGAAGCTGGACCTGAGTTGGAACACTCTCAGTGAGTTGCCTGCTGAAGTCTTTTCAGGGCTCAACAACCTCCAGGAGCTCCAGATAAACTCTAACAAGATCTGGGCGTTGCCTCCTGAAGTCTTTTCAGGACTCAGCAACTTGAGGGAGCTCAACCTGCGATACAACCTTAAGCTCAGTGAGTTGCCTGCTGAAGTCTTTTCACAACTCACCAACTTGCAGAAGCTTTACTTGGATCAAAACGAGCTCAGTGAGCTGCCTGCTGAAGTCTTTTCCGGGCTCATCAATTTGCAGGAGCTTGACCTGCATTCCAACGATCTCAGCGATTTGCCTGCTGAAGTCTTTGCAGGACTCAGCAAGTTGCAGATTCTCAACCTGGGGTACAACTCGCTCACTCGGTTGCATGCGGGAGTCTTTTCAGGACTCAGCAACTTGCAGGAGCTTGAATTGTATGAAAACGAGCTCAGTGAGCTGCCTGCTGATCTCTTTTCAGGACTCAGAAAGTTGCAACATCTCAACCTGGGGGCCAACAAGCTCAGTAAGTTGCCTGCCGAAGTGTGGGCCCATCTCTTCGCAGGTCTTAGCAACTTGCGGTGGCTGAGCCTGAAGTCCAACAAACTCAGTGTGTTGCCTGCTGAAGTCTTTTCCGGGCTCGGCAGGTTGCAGGAGCTCGACCTGAGTTACAGCTCGCTCAGTGAGCTACCTGCTGAAGTCTTTTCCGGGCTCGGCAGGTTGCAGGAGCTCGACCTGGGTTCCAACTCGCTGAACGAGTTGCCTCTGGAAGTCTGGGATAATCTGTTTGCAGGGCTCGGCCACTTGCAGTTTCTCTCTCTCAATAACAACAAACTCAGCGACTTACCCGCTGAAGTCTGGGCCAATATGTTTTCAGGGCTCGGAAGTCTGCGAATGCTTTGGCTGTGGGGCAATGGTCTCAGTGAGTTGCCCGCAATTTGTTCGGCTATAGAGTGTTTCAAATGAGATGGTCAACTGAGATGTCCGGCTATGCGGATGAAGGATTCCTTGTTTGTTTCGGCGAAAATGATGGGGTGCTCTGCCATCTGTCCGCTTGATAGGGTTGTGGGTAGGACTGGTTCCTGGGTGTAGGTCACACAGTCAAGCGACGAGATTTCACATTTCACCCACTTCCAACAACCCCTTTGAATCATTTTGAATCTAGTTTCAATGCATTTCATATGGTTTGTCCTCATGATATTTATTGCATTCTATTCTTGTTTCGTGATCTTTTGGGGCGTTTTGAGAGTAGCACCTGCATCGGGCGACCAAGGTCCAAGGTGGCAGTGGCACGTGGCGCGCAACTGGAGAGACGTTCGCACACCGAGGCATCGGAATGTCCAGTCGAAGTCATCACAGGTATCAAAGTCTTCAGTCGAAGTCTTCATGAAGCTTTCGGTTCTGGTGTGATCTCTGTAAGTGTTCAACCTCCATTGTTGGGATGTCTTCCCGGGTGTTTCCAGCTTGCCTCTGCTTGGAAACTCGTTTTCAGTCTTTGTAGGGTTCCAGATTGGCCCTCTTGTGGTGAAAGACATCCAACAAGAAAAAGACAGTCTGAAGGGAGCAGAACAGAAGTTGTACGTTTCTTTGAAAAACGTTGAAAGAAGCCGCTGAGACAGGTGTAACCACTGTGTCGACCACGTGAAGCGCTGAGTGCTGCCATTCGGCACGCTGCGCCTTGGACCAGCACCAATGGCTCCAAATGGGAACATCACGCCGAGAATTTTCGAGTTTCGACAAGTTGTGGGTGTATGGCCATCCCTTTGAAGAACATGACAACATCATACAACATAACACCAGAAACACCATTTGAATCCAGAATCTGGCGGGGGTCGATCCGCTGGGTCAAATTCCATGGCTTAACTTGGAAAAAGGTGCTTGGACTTGACCCTGAAAGATCTCAAATGTTTTGGATTGTTTCGGTGCATTACTTGAGGAAAGCGTTGCAGATAGTGACAATTGCCAGGGTTTCTCAGCAAGGGCTAGGGTTTATGCATGTACACGCTTACAACATTTTATCAATGCCAGAACTTGTATGGAAGTTCAGCACCTTCAAGTTAAGATGGTTTCCATTGTTTGCGGTGTTTACGCCACTCAATGTGTGGACCGATGAAGGACAACCAGGTGACTATTCCGCAAGCTGCTCCATGTTACCGGCTTTTCGCATGTGCGCACGCCATTACACAACTTGTGTGGGGATTTCGATATTTAGACACCAGTTATATCCTGATAAATTGCGCCTTATCCAAAAGTCCATCATTTGCTGGGACTATGTCCCCGAAATGGGCTTCGCACGGGGAAAAAGATGAGGGCTTCATCCCAGCGCTGCAGGAAAAACTCACTGCGGGAGCGGCTCGAACGCCCAGCACTGCGCAACGAGTTTCGAGAGTCGTGGGGTGAGGACATGGCCAAGGATTTAGAGTTGATACATGTTGATACCAATTGACATACTACTAGTAACACGATTTTTTTTATCATGAAAACAACGGGATTATGACCTTGATTATCATTGGATATCACTGGCAGCAACATTTCTGGAACATCTGGAAGATTGCATACATTCCCATCATCTTTCAAGCACTATGCGGCCCATGGATTTTGGACAGGTCAACTGCATTGAGAGACAACGATTTTCCGAATTTTCCGTTGAGGCTCGGTATTCGAAGAGAAACCCGGGTCCACCTTCCCTGTCCCAGAGAGATGTTGAGGCCCCCGGTGCAGGTGGCAAGTGCTTCCAACCCCAACATGTATCCTTTGGTTGTGAAACCTGGTGATAGGAAATCCTGCTTTTACAGTTGACTTTCCTATTGAAACATTGAGTTTTCATGGCCAGGCTACGCTATTGGAGTATGTACATTTCAGAAATTCAAAGTGGAGTTCGGAGTAAGTACATTATTTTTAAACCTGTGGTTCACGTGGTTCTTTAGTCGTGAAATGTTGTGAAACTCGTCCGTTGGCTTTTCGCTTGTCTGTCTGATCCCCAGCGCCGCAAAGGTGCATTTGCCAGCAACTCTGCCAGAGGACGCCGCGTCAGCTGCTGTCCTTGGAATTAGAGTTGTTGGAAATTGGAGAAAATGTTCGTTGCCCTGTTCCCTTAGGGTTCTAGGCAAAGCCAACTTGATGCCCCCCGATCTTGGTGCAACAGAATCTTAGAGTTTGGCGATTTCGCGTCATTCGTTGGTGTGGGTTCGACACCTGCAGGACCTCCCTGCAGTGGTCCTGGAAGAGTGTGGAAACCAAGCATTGAAAATTTTAGATTGGCATGATGGATCATCAAAACATGTCGTAGTACAGTATAATATCTGAAGATGCATTCCAGCTGTTTAGACATGGCTTCCTTTTTGAAGGGTTCTGTGAAGTGGTTTTGGTTGTTTTGAGAATATTGGCCATGTTGGCTTGGCCATGTTTATTGCCTGTTGTTTTGGAGGAAGTTTGGTTGTTTTTGTCCCTCTGGCGTTTTCTCAAGACGGACTTGTACCGCATTTGCACTGTACGGCGCTATCGACTTTGACATGAAAACCAAATCAGTCAAGCAAACACATAAGAACAAAGCAGCCAATCTCATGTTTCTCAAGAGAAAGTTCCAGCAGACCACGTGTTATAGACTGCAATTTCTGTAATTCGTGCTGCTGGACAGCGCAAAGGATTCGCTGCCTCAATGTCGGTCTCTGTGGATATTCCTGGACATGGTTGCTTTGATATCAAACTGACTGCTTCGATCACCGCTGCTGACATTATTTTACTGCTACGTGAGCGTTTGCCAGACAGCCCATGGCATGGGAACAAGTTGCTGTCAAGTGGGGTCTGCCAGCTACAGTGCGATGACATTGTGGAGGCAACCCACCACAGCACGTTGGTCTTGACAAACTACTCAGAGATCACCAATCAGGAGACAAACCTGCATCTTTGTTCTTTTTGTCAAGCAAAAAGGCACAAGGCAGATTATATGTGATTATATAAAGCGCAAACATCCCAATTTTTTAGTTGCCAGTCGGCCACCGCATGATTCAGACACCGCGTTTCACGGTTGAGAGCTACTTGCTGCGGGGAAGGGTCGGTCACTGCGATCTCGTTGAGGCCAATGTGAAACCAAGGTGAACCAGGATCAAATAGGCCATGAGAAACTGCTGTTCGAAGTTTTTTTGAATTTCAGAGATTGGCCCATGATTGCACCTTTTTGAGGGTACTTCACAATGCTTTTTGAATTCCATTCCAATTTCATTTGCTGCATTTGTTGGTGGACCCACACACGTCGAAGGAGACTTTCTGCATCAAAGATACTGCAGAGCGAGGGATCACGCGCGAGCAATTGGCAAAGATCGTTGTTTTCATCTCCAAGATGGCTGACAGATGGTGCGAGACTTTCGGAGAACAGCGTGGGACAAGGCTGCAGTTTGAGACCTTCAACCTGTATGATGCGAATCATTGGATCATCAAACCAGCCACCGAAGCCTGGATTTGTTGATGATGTGACAAAACATTTTCCAATTTGAGGAATCTACCGTTTTTCTTTTTTTAATTGGCAACATTATGCAGAATCCCAGGACGGCTATGCGAAAAAGGGCTGCAGCATGGTAGAGCTCATGGCGATTCAAGTGCAGAGACCTCACTGGTTTGTGTCACATGCTTGGATCGAGCCTTGGATAGGCAAACTCTCAAGGTTGTTTGAGATCGTGTTATTGCATTGTCTGTCAGCAACAAGTTACTTTTTCCGCTGATAATTCACATTCCCAAGAAATGAACATCCAGCGTAGTGATAGATTAAAGTCAATCTATTGCTTTGAAGCACGTCCAATTTTGTGTTGGGCAGATCTGTGAGGAGCCTGTTTGTAAGTTTCTGGCCTGCTTGGAGCAGCATGCTCTGGTGCGAGAACTCTCAAGCAGTACATTCTATTGGGTCTGTGCATATGCCAATAACCAGCACTGCGTGGAAGAGGATATCAAAAGCAACCCGCGCAGCACTTCATTCTACAGAGCTATGCAGATGTCTGAGGGAGTTCTTTTGGTGCTGGATTCAGCTGGAACGCCTTTCGAAAGGATTTGGTGCTGCTTCGAGGAAGCCATGGCCACAGCCTTAGAAATTCCTAGAAGTGCGAGAAAGCATCATAGAACGAGAAAAAAGGTGACATGAACGTGAGTTTTTTTCGTTTGTGAGTTCTGCCTGAAGGGACACGTTTTGATTTGTCCAGCTAGCAGCTAGCTTGTTTCAGTGCAAAATGCGATTTGCATACATGTGAATGGGGTATAACGAGCAGGAGCAACACCAGGTCATGTTCGTAAAGGCAGGCAATGCTTCAGTAGATAGTGGATCGAAGGAGACACTGGTGTAAACAATTCCGGTATTTTCACCCTGAAAACGACCAAGGCGATCGAACATCGAGAGGGCAACTGGTCCAGACGACGTTTACTGCTTGATGTGGGAGCCACTGATGCATATGACAAAGCTACTCGACACAGAAGTGGTGGCCTTGTGTGGACATTTCCTTTGCGTGGTCTGCTCGAAAGGTTGAGACCATCGCCTTTACCGTAACCCCCATTTCTGCACCATGGTGAACCTTTTCACATCACCTTACTGTAAGCCTGCCTTTCCATTATAAAGAGGTGATAAGTGAAAAGTGATGTTTTGACCGTTCCGACTTGTTGATCTCTGAGGCTCATGTGCTTACTGATGGACTTGCTGGAGCAGAAAGTCGAATGATCGGCATCATCGGGTTGCACCACAAAGCAGCTCGTGAGCGTCACTTTCCTCTGGACCTTTTGGAAAAGGGCTTGAAGGTCAAAATCGAAGAAACTTGGTGCAGGATTGCAAGAAACTTTTGCTGTTTTGATGTTGTGTGGAGAAGCGAATTTATGTATTTGGACAATCCATTGAATACCCATGGTTCATTGTTTTCATGTCACAGTATGATATTTTATTCCAAGTTTACTCTTTTTCCACAAAGTGAGCTGCATATTAGAAATGTGAATGTTCAACCACTCAAGGAAGCTCATGCCACGCAGAAGATCGACAAAGTGCGAATTCTGAACAGCATTGCCTTTTCTCGTCTTGGAACTTGCGACTTTGAGCTTTTGCAGTCGTACCCCGCTGGGGATCCGAATTTCCACCGAGTAGATGAAGCTCTTGCTTCGCACTTCGCTTTATGCAGCTGGTACGGATTTGTCCTTCAAGGAAGATGCACTGAACTCCTGGCCACAGCTATAAAGGCAGACGTTGGTAGAAAGATAATGTTGTTGTTGTTGTAAGCGGACGTCAACCTGCTCCTCACCGAAGTGAAGTAGTTAAGACGCCATAGTATGCCATCTGCGAGAATCAAGTTCCCATACTTCTCCAAGCAAAACACAAAAGAAGCGAAACCTGCCTGAAAAAAAGAAGTAAACACAGTGCGCCAGCTAGCATTCCGCAAGGAATGTTTGTTGATCAAGTACGACTTGCCAAAAAGGTAAAGTCCGTAGCCGCTGCAGACGCCAAACTGCTGCAGCCCAAGCCACGGCTCGCTGATGTCGCTGCACAGCCGCAGCGATCATGGAGCGTGAGTCACGCAACACCTCACCTGCCTGAGCATCGGCTGTCGCATTGAGAACGCGGCAGAGATGAACATCAATCCAACCATCTGGTGGTGTCCAGTCAGGCACCTTGTTGTGAGAAGGGATCCAAGTGCAAACAGTGCCCTGAATCAATAAGCCGCTGATCCGCTGCCAGAAAAGTGGCAAGTCACCCTCCCAACGGCCAGTGCTAATGCCTCGCTGAAGCCGCCGCACCAAAGCCTGATTGTCAATCAAGAGCATCACCGGTCTGTTAGCTGCAGAAGAGGCTAAACAAGCTTGCAGAAGAGCAGCACGCTCACCTGCAGCAGGTGTTTGCTCAAAACCAGTCACGGCACCTTGAACAGTGGGGCCTGAAAGTGTCGAAACCGCCCAGCTAGCTCTTTGCCATCGATCACAGGAAGTAGCTATGATACAACTGCCGTCCAAACCCAAGGTGGGTCGCTGAAGAGGATCGAATTGCTGAATAAAAGTAACCAAAGCAGGATCTGCAACCATGTTGGAAAAAGGCAACACAGGAGGAGCATCCACAAGTGGAACCGGCAAACGACGTTCAGTAGCGCTCCTGAACTCACCATCCCATGGCTGCGCTTGGCAGTGAAAAGTGAGATGTTCTCGATCAGGAGACCGCAATCCACATTCACAACTCAAAGCAGAACCAAAGCGCTCTGTGACCCTGCCATCCACTGCAGCACCAGTCAAAACCCTGCGACTGTAGTAATCCATGCCTAAAGCTGCATTTGCCTGAAAAAGGAAAACCGGCTCCTTGCCGTTTGGCCATCGACCATCCGTTTTGGTGTCTTTAGTCCACAAACCAAGGAGCCATGAATGGATAGCGGCTTTTTGCAAGCTTTTCAAAGACATCCACCCAGGTTTCAAAATCCCAGCAGGCGTGTGCCACAGGCCATCGTCAAGTCGCCATTTCCAATCTTTAAGCACTGCTTTCCAGCGAGGAGCAGGCGAGGTAGCTGCAGGCAACCCTTGGGCACGGCGGCATTGCCGATTCCATTCCGCCCGGGCGGCGGTGAACTGGAGCGCAAACATCGGATGTAGTCTTGCAGAACCCAAAGAATTCCAAAAGAGCAGCCGGCTCCTACCTGGAGGAGCCCTTCGACCCCAAAGTGCAGTTTCGATCATAGATGTCCATGTTCGAATGGTTCTTGCACTGAAGTGATGAAAAGCACCGGACCAAGCAAATAAAGATATCACCAACTTATGCACCAATGCAATGCGAGTGCCTAAGTGCTGTGCTGCCAAACGAATTTTGAGACACCGTCGCTGAATGTTGTCACTGACAATATCCGCATCAACACAAGAACTGGGGCGTGACAAATTGTATTGAATGCCAAGCAGTGTGAAAGTATCCGCAGGTACACCTACTAAATCTTTCTTCTTGCGCACCTTGGCAACCAGATGCGGTTTGGTGGCGAAGCTAGCCAATTTGTCAGGGTGAAGTTCGAAGCCGAGAATAGCATCGGCTTGCGCTCCTGCAGTCATGGCGTTGATGACCACTTCAAAACTTTGACAACCTTGTTTCCACATGGTGCGATCGTCCAAATAAATAGCCAAAGAAATCCTTGGTTCCTGCCGTTTGACAAACCTCACCCAAACTGTCATCAAAGCGTTCAGTAGCGCAGGGCTGGCTGGACAGCCTTGCAACAACCCCGTTGAGCAATAACCGGATGAGGGTGATAAGAACCTTGCCAAGCAAACCAACGACGCTGTTCACTGTAAAAATCAGCGAGTAAATCACAAATTGATGAGGGAGCACCGAACCATCGCCACACTTTAATGGCTGTCTGAGGGCAAACTGAATCAAAACACTTGCGAACATCAGCTTTGCACCCGACCAAATCGACACGAGACTGCTTTGCCGTGCTGACAGCTTCGTAGAAACGTTCATGGACTTCCATGATGCCCTTGCCTGGTAGACCACCAAAAAGTTCGGGCGAAGCCCATTCAGCAATCCAAGGCTGTAATTTTTTCAGAGTGGCACTCATGCAAATACGCCACAGGACAGTGACAATGGCTAAAGGGCGCATGCCACCAGTAGCTTTTGGTAACAAAGCAATTCTAACATCTTTCCACATCGCAGGAACACAGCCATGTCGCAAGCAAGCATCCCAAAGAGCACCGACCTGATCCCAAAAAGCAATGGGAAGATTGCACAAATGGAGAGCTGTCCAGGCATCCATGCCCGGAGCCTTGTCCTTCGCTTTGAGCGCAATCCGAGCCAATTCAGAACCACTAACCTGAATACAGTCATCCGGCAATGGATCGCTTGCAGAGCCCATCTGAGAGTACAACTGGTCCCCCAGATTCAAATTCGGAAGCGACCCTGGATTCCAATACCTCTCCCAATCCAATGCTGCGCACTTGGCCCTATCTGCAGGTAGAATGGGGCCATCAAAACTTGCAGTAGGGCTGGCGGGCGGCACCTGTTTGACCCACCTGCCTAGTTTGGTGGCATTTTCCTGCACGCTGTCCTTCCACGCCTCCAAGCGTAACTTGGACGCTGCTGTAGCTTCTGCATTTGCCAGTTCAAGCACTGCACTAACCAACCTGGGGTCATCCAAAGAGAATAAAGCCAAAGAATGATGTAAATGAGGGCCATCACGAACCAACTTCTTCTCCAACTCGGGCAACGGGGCCTTTTGGTACTCCACCACTCTTCGTGCGAAGCGTCTGAGCTTGCGCTCTTTCACTGTTTGCAAAGAAGCGCTTTTGAAGACGGAGGACTGGCAATTTGCTGCGGGCCCTGGCGCATAGCACGACCAGTTTTGCCACGTGCGAGAAGAAGAGATTCTGCGCAGTTGCTAAGTAAGGTCCAAGCAGAGTCCACGTTGCCTGTACCCAATGCATTTCCAAAATCGTCACATACTTCTTCCCAAGCACTTTGCCAAGAAGCTTCAGCAACCTTTTCAGAATGCAAAGGGGCACCAACTGGGAGAGTCCACGGTGTGGATAATGAACCAGGCACATGCAAGTTGTAAACCACCGCGTCATGGTCAGCCACGCCAAGATGTTGCTCCCTACCAGTAATAATTAACCGAGGAGTGCACAAGCCATAGTCAATGACCACACCTGTATAAACACCTGCAGCAGTTCGATGTGTACCACCTAAAACACGATCTCCGCAAACCAGCTCATCACAGGACCGCCACTGTCCAGTAGCCAAAACGTTAGAAATTGGCCAACAATGAATTTCCAAATTGAAGTCACCCATGATCACTGTATCTTCACCACAAGTAGCAACAAACTCGAACAGCGCACCCAGCGCACGGCTGGCAGCTGTGCGATCAGAAGCATGTAAGTAAACATTGATGAGAATCAACGGCCTTTGCTGAGGTCTATAGAGTTTGACGGCCATGGATCTTTCCACAGACACCATGTCGACAGGAAGGGCCAAGGCCTCAGCAGGCCATTTTGTTAGAACCAATGTACCACCTTCCACTACATTTTTCGAATTTCTTCCTTGAGGG